ATTTGCCAATTCAGCATCCCTTTAAACAGGCTGTTTTTGTTACTGTGCCTTTAGATTTAGATACAGTACTTTCCAAAGTCCTAGGCGCCCAAGCACAATGGGCCTCATTGACCAACCATTCTTAAGAAGAAATTTCTTCTTAAAACCCACTTGCGCAGTTTTTACAAAGAGGTTTTTACCAAGACCATATATCATTAGAATTAAAGAACAAACACACGTACAATAAAAAGTAACAAGAATTTCTTGTTTTTAAAAACAGCAGTCGGTACCTTGTCAGCTAGTACAAAGTCTAGCTCCAGATTCCTGCAATGCGTCCAGCTATCACAGCGTTATTTAGTTGAATTCCGTCATCAGCACACTTTATTTCATTTAATGAAACACTGATGAGCCAAACTTGATACTGGATGATAACCACCAATAACACTGGCCTTCCTTAAAGAGAGGAGAGGAAATGGATAAACAAATGCGAAAATCAATCATATTTTTATTGTAATAATAAGTTTCAAATACTTACTGACAAGAAAAATAGGCTTTTAAATCAAAATTTCCTCAGGTGCCTAAAACTTTTGCACAGTGTGTAAAACACCTCTGTTCTGACTGCTCTTCTGTATTCTGCTTCATGCAAATTGCATAAGAAAATTAAGCAATTTCTTTAAAATGCTCTAAGTAAACAACAGCCAAGTAAGTCTAAACAACCTTCAATCATGATCGTGCAAACACTGCAAGAAAAGTCAATGAATCTCAACTTCCATATTTATAACATCCATTATCAATGGCAGAGAAGAACAAAGAAGCTAAGATGCAGAAAGCAAACAATGGCGGCACATCAGGCTCTCAGCACACCTTCAAAGCTCAAGCCCTAATTAAGCAAAGCCAAACGGTCTCAAGGACGTGGTGAGTGGGGCAGCAGGGTGGGTTTATCAGAGAGTCCTCGCTCGCTGCCTCAGGCAGTAATTACAAAGCAGTGCCATTCAGATTACGTTCGTGTTGCATGTGGCGTGATAAATTTATTTTTTACTCAGTCAAGGTCTGGAGATAATCAAGGCCATGAGGTGAACTGTATCTCCTTTATTAAGACAGTTTGTGATTATTATATGTTAATATATTACTCAAACATGAGGCACGCAGGATATACACATAATTACCTAATAATTCTGGACATCAGGCTTCTATCACCCATATTTACTGTCTGAGACAAACAACTAGCAAATTATTACCGCTGTTGTGCTTTGGGTATTAGGAAAGCATGTTCTAAATATTTTATTTTTTATTTTATTTTATTACTTATGCATTACTTCTACTTTATTTATTCATTCAATCGGGTATTTTATTCATTTTAATGTATTTCAATTATATTAATTTATTTATCCATTCATGCATTAATTCATATATTTATTTATTTTTATTTTACTACTTATGTATTTTCATTGTATTTTCTTTCTAATTATTTATTTATTCATGCATTTTATTAATTTACATTTTTTTGTATCTATTGTATGAACTCAATCATTTATTTCACTTCATTTTATTTCACCACCATCCTGCTACCTGTATGCTAACTGCAGTTAAGCGTACCTTTGGAGGAGATCAGTCCTCACACCAATTAAACATATTCCTGCTCAGCATGACTACGACACCCAGATAACTATTCCCAAATGGCCCTGAGCCTCAACTAATGGCAGCTATTAGCAATCATTTGTCTAAAATATGGATCTGAAACCTCCTCTCTCGACCGTAGTCGCCAAAGGCCCCTGCAAGCACCGGCCTTGAAGTTGATAGGGGCCTAAATAGTGTAACAAAGGAGAGGTGTAATGAACAGCCGGAGCGTTCCAATAGATCATCCTGAGTGAATTTGCCAACATCATGCTGCCCATTTTGAGCTCAGTAAATTAAAATGTATGCACAGCTACTTTATCACTCCACGCTTTCCCCATGAGGTAGAGCAGAGATACTCACCAACGGCTATAAAGCCGTTCAGTAATTATATTAGCGCACACTTCCTAATTAACATATGGCATACATGTTCAGAATGTACTACTGCATCGCTCTCCATACTTCTTCCACATTTTTCCCCCCACTGTGTGGTACCCTTTCCTATAACAGCTATTCTACGTTGCCATTAATGTCAATCAAAACATGTATTCTTTATTCAGGCAGAGTCGATCCCGTACGGGGGATCACAGTCGCTCGGCTCTTTGCAGTATTCCTGGAACACTGGTGTATGAAAACAACAGTGGTGCGTATGAGGCCAGCAAAACAATGAGAGAGCGCTGAGCTCTGAGCGCACTGAGCTCTGTATTAATAAAGAGGTCTGATACAGAAGAGAGGCATCCATACACGCACGCACGCACTGACACCAGACAGAGCCTGAGGCAGCCCTGCTGCTGCAGGACCAAACATCTGCTCTCTGGAATAATACACATTTCATTTCGCTCCATCTCATGTACACTCCTGCTCATAAGTTTACACACCCCTGGCTGAATCTGAAAGATATTTAACATTTCAAAAAATAGTGATCATACCGAACATGTTTATATAGTTAGGCTCAGATTTATCATTACAGAAATCTGTATGCATCATATTAATCAGAATAATAAGTTTGCATACCGTTAGTTCTTAATATTGTGGGTTGATATTAGGGTGAATGAGCATGAATGACAGCTTGTAACCTTTTGTGATAGTTGTGAATGAGTGCTTTCATTTTCTTATATATATTTATAAGGAAACACACACTCACAGTGGTGGGCAGTAACAAAGTACTCCATTACATTTCACAGTGAAATATCCTAATCCACCACTTTCTGCAAGATACTGTGTAGTAAAAACTAGACTTCCCATAATATGAAAGAATATACTGCACTTTCTCAATTATATCAAACCAATCATAGTCTGATTGGTTTGATATAATCCTCTAAACACCAATGTCCAGTCATTGCTTAGCAACCATAAGTAGGCCCAGGTAACTCTGACAAGCTTTCAGAATGAAAGAAAATGAATCCTAAAATGAATAAGCAAAAGGAGAAATGCTGGTTTGTTAGAATATCTTACAATATATTTACTATTGATACTTAAATGCATTTAAAAGCAAGTACTTGTAATATAACTCAAGATAAAATATAATGTTTATTTATTTATTACTGTTTTCTACACTTTAAAGTAATATTCAAAACTATAGTTCATATTCCAGTCAGAAATATTTGCCCTCCCATATTACAACACACCTGATTGGCTGAAATGCATTAATAAAGACAGACATTCCACTAATTAACTTTTAAGAAACACATAGTAATGAAGATGATATAACGATTGTAGGTCCAACACCACTGAAGTCATACATGAAAACTAGAAAACTACTTGTTTCAAAAATAGTGAATTAAATTGTTTATTTTTTTTGACATATAATTTATACATAAGCATCAGATTGAATATTTGCATTTGCCTTAGATTAAAAACCAAGATGTGTCCAAACTTTTGACTTGTAGTGTATATACAGACTGATACATGAGAAAAGCAAGCAAAGGAAAAGGAAGAAAGAGTCAGAGAGAGATGGAGAGAGATGGAGAGTGAGAGAGAAAGAGAGAGAGAGAGAGAGAGAGCGCGAGAGAGCGCGCGCGCGAGAGAGAGAGACAGAGTAGTGAAGAAAGAAAGATGCGGTCATATGCAGAAGTTTGTGTGCCCTGGTCAAACTGCATGTTTTGTTGATTTTCTAATTGAAAATAAGTTACACATCCTGTACAGACAACACACAATTTACTGCATAATTACTGTTTATCTGCTGAATTTAACATATTAGAAAAAAAACTTAAAATGTGACCTGTGCAAAACTTTTGGCACATTTTATATTTTATGTTTTTTTTCCCCCAATGTTAAACTCAGTAAATAAGTAGAAAATGTGCACTAAATTGCAGAAAATTGCCATATTTAAGTTGGTTCCCAAATGGTAATACGACATACAACTTTTGCGTACGACTGTACATAGAGAGAGGGAGAGACGTGACTGCAAACGTGATTAAGCAGTGACCTGCCCACACATCTCAGGCCAGATATCATAAGGCCAGAGACCTCAAGACTTTAGAGCTTCCTCAGGCACGAAAAGCCGGAGCATTTTAACACAGAATACCAACCACAGCACCACTTACTGCAAGCAAGAATACATTTCTGTACAACATGAACGCATTTCACACTGCAAAACTTTTCTATTCTGAGCTAAAAAGGGTAGTTAGTAAAGTTAGCAATTTAACACAGTAAGAATTAACCTCACTAAATATTAATAAACAAAAAACTGTATTTTAATCACAACACTAGAAAAGATTAACGCAACACAGCATTTCTACAACAGCCTTTTCTTTGGCATGTCTGTATAACCATGTTCCAGAACAGTAGCTGATTGTGACTGAAGGCTGTGTAATAAAGGACTGGACCTTATGTCTTTTTTCCACTGGACATCCTCACAGCTGCCATTAGTTTCCTAAGTGCACTTTTCCCTGTACTTCTAAATTGATTGAAACAAAATGTCACAATTATGCCCTGTAGCTCAAGCTTTAATTATTCATCAATTAGCATTTTTTCCCTTCCCTTTTTTTTCTAAACTGATTTTTCATTCAGTTTGCAGAGATGTATGGTTCCCCTGCTGTTAACCAGTCCAAAGTCATTAGTTTCTGGCTTTGCAATTAAACCTGCTGCATTATTCATCAGGCCCTACTCTGTAGATTGTGCTCTGAGCTTAGAAGGCCTGCATGGGAAATTAACTCAGAGAAATGAAGTTTTCTCTCAGGTTTCAACAGATGCCATTGGCCAGAGCTGAGGGTAAGGACAGAGAGCACTGTGCTCGACAGAATGAGGGGAGCGTAAAGCCCAACTGTAGACAGGTAATAAAACGCACCGGCAGCTGTAGCTCTGATTTAAAAAGGCTTTGGTACTAAAGGTGCACTTTTCATGTAAAACATGGACTGAGGTAATACATAATTAATGAAATGCAATTTCAGCAGGTATCACTGTAATATAAGCTACATTTAATTAGTGACATAAGCCAAAAAAAGTTCATACATTCATTAAACATGCAGCTACAAGTCAAAAATGACTCCACCCTTGATGAAGACTGAAGGAAAAAGTAATATATCGTCTGAGAATTTTCCAGCCATGTGGTCAATTTTGTATTTTATTAAAGGTTCAATGGTCTCCAAATCATACATTTCCTCAAACTAGTCACATGTTTGGCACCACTGTTTTAAAAAAACAATGTTGCTAAGCATTTTTCTACATTGTCATTTTCCAACATCATGCACCACTGATCAAAGCTGCCAAAATAGCACACTTTCCCAAATGAAACTGCCATTTAAACTTGCTAAAGACTTAAGCAGGGAACTTTATTTAAGTTTAGAGGTATAAAATTTCCATATATTGCTATGTAAAAAAAGGATCCTCTTATGTGAGTTATCTGTCAATTTCAGCAAAGGATGTATTATCTGCTTTAATATGAGTGATTTTCAGTGGCACAGACTACATTTCTTTAGCATGCACAGCCAGTCATTGATCAAACACTGCCATCTGGTGGTACACTGACAAAGTAACTACAAATGATGAGAATATATGACAAAGATGACAGTAAGAGTGATAGAGCACCTTTTACGGATGGTTATACTCTAGCAACGCCATAGTACGAGTGTCCACTCTTGTTGAAGCAGGAGTATGAGCACAACAGGACTCGCACTGGAACATTCTGTGAGTTTTTCATCTTCATGTCCTACAAAAGACAGAATAGAACAATGTAATCAATTATGTTATACTGTAAATCCAATGGTTTAGGGTTTAAACTCATTTCTGTTAAAAGTGTCACAGTGTTCAGTTACAATGTCGCCGTATCTGAGAACAGACTAATGAAAGCTTGACTGTAATATCAAATAAACAGCGTTTAAAGCCTAAATACAATAAGATTATTTCTGTAAATCTGTTCTCTTTAAAGGAGGATTTTCTGCATAATTAAATCGTTAAGATGTCAACAAAGTCATTCTGAATTGTCTGATGTAAAAATGCTCCATTCTAGAGTTGGAATATTTCTCCATGGTGCTGATAGGAATCTGACGTCTGAGGGGTTTGAGGCTACATCACAAAAAGCTACTGCAAAAAATGGTCATGAATGTGCTGCTTGATGCCTACACACTGTTTTACACAAATTCTGAGATAAAGTTTTAGTCTATTTTTTAAATACATACATGGCAGGAAGCCAAAATATTTCCTAATTATTTTTGATTTACCACTGTTTTACCATTATCAACATAAAAACTCAGAAGGTGTGTAGGTTCACTTATACAACTTAAATAGAGTGTTTTCTCTCCTGTATGTTGCTTTTTCACTATTTAATTTTTTTTTATCTTATCACTTTACATTTTCAGTTGGATTTAATGTTGTTGAAGGTCTTTAAAATATATGACTTGAAAGGTGCATTTAAATAACATTCTACTATTTTTAGTGAACAGCTCAACCAAATACTGAGATGTGTTTACAAAGTGTTATAGAAAGTCTACACTGTAACATTTGGATTTACATGCACATGAATTTACAGCCCACAAAAACACATTTCTCAAAAACAAAGGCTCTCAGGACATTCTATGGGGGTTGGGTTACTCCTTCTGTGTGCTATTACTGCACAATGCTGAAACAGGTAAACATTCACTGAACGTAGCGCAGTAAAAACAGTCAGCGGCAGATGGCCGAGTCAGAGGTCAGGGAGACTGAGAGTCAGGCATGTACCTTTCGGAGGTTGATGAACTGCACACACTCCAGCCAGGTGGTATGGAAGGGCTGGAAGCACACAGCACACCTGCCCCAGCGAGACAGCATGGTCTGCAGATCAGGGTAAAGCAGCAGAGCTCTGGACACCACAGACGACTTATTCAAGTCTTCTTTCAGAATAAGCCTGGCGGCAAGCTCCTACACAAACAACACTGTTATAACAAGGCTGCACGAAATGGAACAAGTATTAGTATTGTGTTTATTTATCTATGTATCTTAACTGCAATGTGCCTTGCAAAATATATAAAAACTTATTTTGACCTAACTATGAAACAGCAAAAAGATTTATTGTTGAGAATTTGAACAGCACTACAACATGGCTGACACACTATATGTAGTACACTATTTAAGTAATGTGGAGCGGTTTCTGTCGCTCTTCTTGATTCATCATAAGAGCCACAGAAACTCTAATGTGGAACTATAACTGGTGAAGATGCAAACAGCACACACTGTGACAGGTTAGAGGGCTCGCATACTGCAGTATTCTGCTGTATCAGTATTTCAAAGGCCAACATCGACAAAAAACTCCCATACTGCACTTTTTCATAAGAAGAAAACAAAACAATAATGGAAATCACACACATCATCACACACATCATCTAAACCGCTTATCCTTCTGGGTCACAGCAGGATGCTGGAGCCTATCCCAGCTGTCATTGGCCAGAAGGCAGGATACACCCTGGACAGATCACCAGGCCATCGCAGGGCAGACAGACATACACATTATAATGGAAATCAGATTTAGCCAAAACTATACACAAAGTATTGTCAAAGTACTAAATTACCTTCAATGAAAAGACTTCCTTCTCTTGAGTGGACTCAAACAGCTCATTCTTCACTAAGTTGTTTCCCTCAAAAAACAGCTCTTCCAGTGCAAGAAACTGAAACTGAGAGAGAGTACAAAAGTTGGAACTCCTTAAACTGTTATGCTGCTGTTATTTAAGCAATAGAACACGAGAGGGAACGTGTTATCGTGGAATAACATCACGGCTGTGATTTGCTCGTGTAGATCATCACAGCCGTGATGTTATTCACGATAACGTTGCTATTAATAATTGCTTTTATACAACAGTTAAATAAATAAAGTAAGAAATACATAAATTGGGCCGTGAACGTGTCATTTAATATGTTTTAATGTTAGCAGTTCCCTCCTCCAAATTATAGTTCCTTAATAAGCAGATTGTTGCCACGTCAGAGTGACGAGCTCCGCCCACTCGCTGCACAGCTGACAGTTCATTCTCCAGCTCCTTACACAGACCAACTGACAGTTTGGGAATTTAGTGTAGTCTCATCTTCAGAGTTTGACCAAATCAGCTGTCGGTCAAATGTGATCTTAAGAGTATCCATTTTCTGTTTCTGCGCAAAGTAAGAAGTAAAAACGTTCAAATGGCCTGAGCGTCCCCTACAGCTGTCAAAGTTGTTGCTTAGCAATGGCGTCTCAGCGGAGTGATACAGTGGTTGTGGAAAACCCGTGATGTTATGGCAAAGTAACAGCACAGTTAGAATGCTTCTCAACCAATCAGCTTGCATGGCCAGAACTAACTGTTGTATAATATTATTTAACAAACCACAAAGTAACTTTGACTGACATATTTAGATCTTGTTCACACCTGGTATTAATATTCATCTAGAGCCCATGTGTCAAACGTCAGGCCCGTGGCACAATCCTATTCGGCCCGCAAAATTATTTGCATTTTCTATTAATACTAGCCCATTTCACCATGAGCTGCACTAGTTTCCAGCATTCACTGCAACGTAACATGTGCCCCCAACAACAACCTATGGGGCAGCAACACAAAAAAGGATGCCAGGTGTCTAGTTCAAGCGAATGGGCAGTTTGAGAAAACCTACTTTACACTGGGGACATTTAAAAAGGTTTAACAGTTATCTGCAGCTAATTTAGTTTATTGTTTTATATAAAACAATTTGTTTTCATTTAAAATTATAAGTATTCAGTGCCTATTTTTTGCCATTGTAGTTTGGCATGTTTTCAATCAACAATGACCAGTTGGGGTCATGGCAAAATGTTAAGTAAAAATAAAATAAAAACACAGACGGCCACCAGATTTTCCGTGATTTTTGAAAATGTGGCCCTTTCAATGATTGACTTTGACAACCCTGATCTAGAGTGATCCGATGTGCCTTGTGACTAGATTTCATGATGACTCAGTTGATTAGGTGGTCCTTCAATGTTGTCGAAACACATCAGGGCACTATCAAGTTCACAGTACAAATGTGACGCAATTGCCTAGAATTGCAGCTCACCTAGACTGCAGCCTGGGTTTTATAATGAAGCTACAATGTGATCATGTGTGTTTCAGACCAGCTCTGAAAATGCTTTGAGTGAACAGATCACATAAACATTAGATCCCATTCACATCTGCACTAAGTACTGTCCTCTTATGACTGGATCACCAAAGACAGATGTTAATGCCAGATGTGAACAGGGCAAAAGTGACTTACTTCAAATGGAAACATAGACAAGCGATTGCCAGCGACATCTAAGATCTTCAAGCTTTCCCATCCGAGAATACCCTTCAGAAAAACATAAAATATTCTTATTTATTCCTACGTGCAGCAGTTCATACTCCTTACTGCTTACTCAAACATGGGATGTGAAATAATGATTGAACATTGACAGACATTGTTGCAAATCAGAAAGAGGATAAACATTAATTTAGATATTTACTGTGTTACACAACTTCGGTTGTAGCAGAAAGCCACCTGTAACCGACCTCAGGTAAGTCTGTCAGACTGTTCCTCGCCAAGCTCAGTTTCCTTAATTGTGTTAAATTATAAAGTTGCTGTGGAATTTCAGTCAGCTTGTTATTGGCCACATTAATCTCAGTCAAATTCCTCAGCAGTCCCAGTTCAGCAGGAATCTCTTCAAGCTGATTGCCCATAAGACTGATCACTTCCAAATTAGAAAGTCTGTAAAATAAAATAAATAAATAAATAAATAAATAAATAAATGTGAACACACATCACTACATCAAAACAGAGCAGACAGTTCACCTCTGTATGGCTGGAGGAATGAGCTTGATTCTGTTGTGATTCAGATTGAGAACTGTAAGGTTTGGAAGGCCTTCTGAAAAAATAATAAATGACAAAAAATTAACAATCATTATCATAATTATCAGAGTAGTATTAGTATTATTTAACTAATTATATTAAAAGTAAATATAAAAATAAAAAGTACATGCACAAAGAAGCAAGCAAGCAAATACATAATAAATAAATACATACAATGAGGACACCATTCTTCAGTGTGAGACAACACTAATATTAAGTGAATCAATTCGCTATTTAATGAAGAATTAACCTTAAATCCTAAAAGGCTCTAACTCACCTAAAACCTCTGGATGTAATCTGGAAATTCTGTTTCCAAACAAGTAGAGTTTTTTTAGACTGTTCAGATGCTTCAGCACAGGAGGGATCTCCTCAAAAACGTTATTCCCCAGATTAAGTTCTGTTAACTAAAGCCAGAAAAGCCACATTTGGATCGACACTGGACATATCAACACTACTGAAAATGTAACCAGTACACATTAAAGGCGTTTTCCTTCCTTAAAGTTTGATGTTATTTGTTGTGTTTTAGATATTCTGTCTCACTGGATTATATGACATATATCGTGTTCATATTTTCCTTTATCAACATCCTTTACCTACATTACCCAGCATGCATAACTCAAAGTGGGAATCCCTGTGGTGGAACTGTAGCTTAGATATTGACCTACCTTTATTTAGCACAAAATGGACACCGCAGACAAGTTTTTTACTCTTACAGCAAAATAAAAGAACCCAAACTGAAGTAGCTAACGTTAGGTAGCTACCTTCCAGCTAACTTCATCTTATAGCTGGTCCTTCTCCTCATGTAAAAGGTCCTTCCTATGGTTCATTTATTCGTTCTCTCCTTTGTAATGATTATTTGAAGACTATAGTTAAATGGCTACAATGAGCTTCCTAGCAGTGGCTCAGAGCCCACCCCCAAAAATTTATCCCAAAGCTGTTGCAGTTTTCCAAACGTTCCTCACACCTTCAGTATACATCATCAGAAGGGAATTTTCCAAGTCTTTAAACCAGAAAGTCTCACTTTAGAGACTGCTGTATATGACTTTTATGACTTAATCTCATGTTTGTGACTTAGCATCTCAGAATTATGTATTAATATCTCATAATTATGACTTAGCATCTCAGTATCTCAATTTTAACTCACCATCTCATCACAATGAGATCCTATCTCACAAATTACTTAGCATCTCATAATTACGACTTAGTATCTCACAATAATGACTGTCATAATTATGACTTGGTATTTCATAAATATTAGTATATTAGTGTTACTATCTTATTAGTATTACTGACTTAGCATATTACAGTTATGACTTGCTTGCTCATAATTATGACTTAGCATTTCATAATTATGACAACTTCTTACTATATAACTATGACTTAGTAGCTCATAACGACTTACTATGTCAAATTATGACTTTCTAATAATTATGCGAAAATTTCCTTACGAACTCTAAATGATTATTATAAGATATTAAGTCATTATTATGGAAAGCTTTCTCATTATGACTTACTAAAAGGCTACAGGCCTATATTTTTCTCCAGTGGCTGTAACAGGTTTCCACAGCTGTAGGGTGAGAGTCACCATGTTTACTACATATGTGGAGCTGGGTAAATTTTAATTTTGGCTGGAGTGCCCCTTTAACTTAACATACCTGAAAGCAGTGCTAGCAGCCTTCTCCAACTTCCCTGAGAGGTACGTTCGCCATTAGACACACATTTAAGTTGTGTAATGAAATCTTCAAAGGAATTTCCACTAGTATATTAACACAATAATGCTAAAATAGGATTTAAAAAAAATGTTTAAGGCTTTTCAAAGTGAAATGTTGCTTTATTGACATGGACTAAAGTAAGTGTGGCTAATCCTGTAGTTTTAGCTAACCTAACGGACAACACTCACCTGTTGCAGTGACTGTAGTTCAGTAGGCAGACTGGCGAGGCGGTTGTTGTTTAAATGTAGTGCCAACATGCAGGTTAACTTTCCAAACGCTTTAGAAAGAGTTCTTATATTTCTAGAGCTCAGGTGAACAGATTTAGCATTCCCTTTCGAGGCCCTGATAACCAAATCGTTTGCCATTAATGTCTTAAACTCGACTCAAACTCCTGAACAGAGCTCGGCTGATCAGCGTTTCCATAGAAACGTCACTGATTTTCAACACAAGCGACTCTTTACTGACCTCTAGTGTCGCTAAAACAAAGTACATCATGAGCCTCTCACAACAAAGAAACTCGAAGACTAAAACATGTATTAAAAATTCATTTTTTATTTCGACAGCTTTAACATGTAGTCTGTTTCCGCTCCAAGCTAATGAGTTCTCGCTTTATATGCAGCTATTACGGAGTGCTAAGAGTCTTATACACACACTGATGTGATTATTGTGAATAACTGCCATGTTTTCACCGACTTTCTTGGACCCTTTGTTGCCCTGAAAGTCGTCTCCTCTTGTAGATTCAGTATCTAGTTGGTCAATACTGGAAGTGAAGGAAGCCAAGGTTTAGTTTTGACCTCTGTCCAAACTGACACAAGGTCCAGCATAGGTGCTCTGTCCTACAGTAATCTGTGATCTATTCATTCTTGCTCTTCACTTGCTGCGTCTTTCAGTGGCTCCACAGAGTTGTAGTGCTCCCCCAGCCCATACGCATGTCTCATGTAACTGAAAAGGAAAAAACAGAGTGAATTAATACACGCTTCAACCGCAAAAAAAGAAAATAAAGAAAGAATTTTTTATGTATTTACATCAGGGTGACTGGCGGTTTGTCATACTCTTCACCAATAACTACTGCAGGAGAATCCGCTTGAATAACCTCTATTGGTAACTGGAGGATGTGTGTCAGGGCCCTTAACTGTGATGGAGGAAAACAAGGAGACGATGAGAACAAATCTGTATCAAAAGAATCAACTGACACCAACAAATTAAAAAGACTGGTTCACCAAAAATCTAATTTACAGAATCTCCCCTTTTCCTTTTAGGCCAAGACATACTTGGTGTCGGAAGTTCAATTCTTTAGTTCTGACTGGAATCCTATTTTTCGCATAAATGAAATTCCTTTTATCCTTGGTGTACATGGATGTGAGGGATTTTTGAGTTTATAAAAAGTGTTTAAGCACTTGTTTATAAAAAGTGTTTAAGCACTTGTTAGGACTGTGAGAGTGTGGGTATGTATCATATCTTTGGGGGACGGTCTTATGACGTTAACATTCTTCCCTGACATCTTGGAAACAGCACGTTAGAACATCACCAATGTGTTAAACTGAGAAATATATACACTATGTTTCCAAAAGTTGGTAGACACCTGCTCATCCAGCATTTCTTCTGAAATCTTCTGAATCAGTAGAGAGTTTGTCCCTCTTTGCTGCAGTAACTGTCTCTACTATTCTAAGAAGGCTTTACACAAGTTACTGGAACACTGCCAAAGAATTTATTCCATTCAGCCACAGGGCATTAGTGAGGTCAGGTACTGATGTTGGATGATTAGTCCTGGATCACTCCGACTCATCCCAAAGGTACTGGATGGAGCTCCATCACTCCAGAGAATGCAGTTTCTCTGCTCCACAGCCCAATGCTGAGGGGTGTTGTTATACCCCTCTAGTCGACACTTGGCATTCAGCTCGTGCTCCTGCTCCAGAGCATCACATTCTACTGGAAATACTTTTCTGTGGAAATTATACAAGCTGCATGTGTGCAACTCAACATTGCTGTCAGTGAGGGGTGCACCTTAAAGTAACTGAATTCACTAAATATAAAGAGCACCAGGATACTTTTGCACAGTGAACTTAGTTTCATGTGGTATTCAACAAAAAGTTAGACAAGGGAAAAACTGTGCAAATTAGATTTCTGAACCACTGAACCAATCCTGTAACCTTTAATTACGAAACGTCATGCACATAAACAATTTTTATTTTCAAACAACTAAAATAATTAGTTGCTCTCTGGCTCCCCCTGTCTTCTGCCCAGCAAAGCAGTATTACCTACTTATTTACTGACTCACTAGATGGTACCTATATTTACTTTATTTGCTCGGTATACTGCCTGCTTGTCATTATTATTATTATATTTATTTTCTCTTGTTTTTGTGTGGCTTGTCCTGTCTTTTATCTTATTTGTCTGTTTCATGTACTATCTGTGTGTTGTTAATAAAAAAAATATATTTGCTATTAATCATATTTATCTTCTTTGCTGTAATTTGATTTTTTTCCTGTTGTTATAGCTATAGCTATAACTTTATATAGTTATAACAAAATAAGCTTCATCAGAATGTATTATTTTACTTTTATTAATTCAATAACATTATTTTCATCATGTGCATGCAGGACTCACATGAACCTGAGCGTATAAAATCACCACTACAAACCCTCTAAGAGTGTAAGTATTACTCTGTATTTAGTTGTCATACGCCAATGAATATAAGTATATAAAAGGACGTAGTGATTGTAGTCCTAGTTCAAATACTTGTATCTGAGGGTCTACAGCAAGGGTTTTCAGTTCCAGTCCTAATGGGCTGCTGTATAGCAGTTTAGTGATTTCCCTGCTTAAACACATCTGGTTCAACTCATTTTTTATTTTGATGTTTAGTGGGCTTGACTGTGCTTGACACCGGCCCTCCAGGACCAGAATTAAAGAAACCAGGTCTACAGTGTATATCTGGAGTACAAACCAGTTGTTCAAGAGGCAGCTGTACCTACCTCTAACTGTCCACCCCAAGCTGCTGTTTCTGCAATATCACTGCAGTACTTCTCAAATTCATCTGTGTGTAGGAAAACAAAGGTTTTACAAATTAAACCAGGTCAAGTCAGACTATTTATTTAACTAATCTTCTTTATTTCTTTATTATTTCATGTTTTATGTCAACACAATATCATACAGGACTCAATAATCTGTTAATAAAAGTGTTTTTCTTACACTCAGAAGCTCAATGACATCAAGCTAGCACCTTAGCTGTGTTTAGTGCATGTAGTTTATCTAACACGATTATTAAATTGCTAACCTGCAGTGTACATGTCCCCAGTGTTTGGGTTGGTGAGGAAAGGCAGGAAATCATCCGAGTGGCTCCTCATATACTGGGCCGTTTGAGCACGGAGCTCCCTGATCCCGAGGGCTCGTCCACGCTCTACCAGCTGGTCTTCTACAGCACGGTACATGCAGTGGCCATCTGAAGACATCTCCTTGATCTGCAGCTGCTTCTCTGCCAGCTTCTGTCTCAGTTTCAGACCCTCTTGGTGTCTAGATCCTAACAGGTTCTCCACCTCTGCCTCAGCAATGCGGTTCTCTCTCTCCTTCTCCAGAGCAGCCCTCTTGTCCTGGGAAGGAAAGGGGGGGGGGGAAGAAAATTCACACAATAAGACAGCTAGAGGTCAAGCCATGTCAACAGACCAGACCTAGAAAGAACAGAGACTCTGTCTTCTGAAGTTACTGGTTAATGCCAATATGTAGTAAAAGGTAACAAGCGCAGCCTAACAGCATATGTGTAGTAGCAGAACTCAAAAACCACAAAACATTCGACTCACCCGCCTCTTCTGAGCCTTAGACACTCGCGCCTGCTTGCTGTCTGCTTGCTCTCCACCAGCCAGATTTATGGAATCAACAGCATCGACAACCTCATCAACCTTGATATAATTAATTAAACAATTTTTTTTTATCACCAAAGCAATCAAATCAAATTAAATACAGGCCAAAAATACAAAGTGTTCAAAATAACTAAATCAAACCACAAAAATCAACCCCATACAAATTCTCATAAATCACCTTCTCTGCAGGGTTCGAGTTCTGTTGCTGTTTGAGCTCATTCTCATGTTTTTGAGTCAGCTCAGCCTCTAATCTGGCAATGTCTTCAGTCAGCTGCTTCCTCCTTTTTTTGTCATTTTTAGGCACGGCATTTTTCATACTCTGTATTTTAGCTAGAGAGAGAGGAAACAAGTCATTGAAACAAGTTATTCACTAGGTCATTAGGTCACTGGTTCACGATCCTTCCCACTGTCCTGTATATTTTAGTGTTGTCTCATCAGCTCATTACCAAGTCCATGCTGAGCTGAATTTAGAGTGTTACGAGTAGAGAAAACCTTAAAGCTGTGCAAGGCAGTGTGATCCCAGGCACAGAACTGGGACCACCACATTAGCTAATGTGGCATACGGTGCATAATGGGCCCATATCAAAAACTGAATTTTCTGCATTGTTTTGAAAGAAAAAAAAAAACTTTTCTGTAGTATATAAACACTCAAAGTTTCAAAATGTACTGTTCATGGTACATTTACTATGCACAACAGCACAAACTAGCAGTTCGTATACACACAGTTTGTATATACACCGATTGGGCATAACATTATGACCACCTCCTTGTTTCTATGCTCATTGTCCATTTTATCAGCTCCACTTACTATATAGGTGCACTTTGTAGCTCTACAGTTACAGACTGTAGTCCATCTGTTTCTCTGCATACTTTGTTAGCCCCCTTTTACTCTGTTCTTCAGTGATCAAGACCCCCATGGACCCTCACAGAGCAGGTACTATTTGGGTGGTGGATCATTCCCAGCACTGCAGTAACACTGATGTGGTGGTGGTGTGTTAGTGTGTGTTGTGCTGGTACGAGTGAATCAGACACAGCAGTGCTGCTGAAGTTTTTAAACACTGTGTCCACTCACTGTCCACTCTATTACACACTCCTACCTTGTCAGTCCACCTTGTAGTTGTAAAGTCAGAGACGATAGCTCATCTGCTGCTGCACAGTTTGTGTTGGTCATCCTCTAGTCCTTCATCAGTGGTCACAGGACGCTGTTGGCTGGATATTTTTGGTTGGTGGACTATTCTCAGTCCAGCAGTGACACTGAGGTGTTTAAAAACTCCAGCAGCACTGCTGTGTCTGATCCACTTAGACCAGCGCAACACACACTAACACACCACCACATCAGTGTTACTGCAGTGCTGAGAATGATCCACCGCCCTTTAGTAAAAAGTGTTCTATATGATACCACCTGACTTGTAACAATAACATAACCATTATGGTCGTTTTTTAAAATAAATAAAATTTTTAAATAATCTTATAGAACAGGTCTTTCTGTTCCATCTCAGGCACCAGAATGTAACTGCTGCACCATTTAAGGTGGAACGTGAAAACAGGAACAAGAAGCTGACTGGCTTCAACTTCGTAACAACATAAATTAAATATATACGATATGGGCCCTTTAACACTGCACAGCAGAGTACAGTCTGAGCAGCCAGCTGGCAGACTTCACCTAAACGGACAGGACAGTCAGGGATGATGTGTGTCACATCACAAAGCTAACAGGTCCATGGAAGCCCATGAAGATGCAGCGTCAGTGTCCAACCTTGCAGCTCTTTCTTTTCCTTGCGATGCTGTTTGGCTAACAGCTCCTCCGCCGTCTCTGCTTCCTCCATGTTCGACCCGGCGGGCTCTGTTCACACCACACAAGGCCGCGCTGCACTCTTACTGTCAGTGTGCTGCTGCAGGGTCTGTCATTGCGAGGTAAAGGTGAAAAACCCACAGCTGTAACGAATGACGATCAGAACCGCGCCATGCGGAGAAACGGATCAGTGTGAGCTCACACATTGTGAGATGTCGCTACTTTTTCAAATTAAAAGTCCTATTCAAATTAAACTTTAAAATTCTTCTTACAATTTAGATTCAAATTAAAAGTTGTTTGAAACTTTACGACTGATTCAGTTTGCGGGTCTGATTCAACATGTCTGAATTAAACGAATTCATGCCTGAATTCACAAACACTTAAATAACGTCGCAAATGCAGAATTTTAGAGAGTACTGCTGCCTTAAAGTCCTCGGAGGTTCCTATACTTACGACTTCGGAGGTCGTAAGTACGACTTGATTTGTGTTGAAGTTTGTTTTTGGTTTACGTTTATTTTTCTGTTATTAAAGAGAGTCTGTGTACATACACTATATCTGTATTTCCATGTGTGGATAGTTTCAGCCTGCAGTGTTAATGTTGTGGTTGATGAATAACAGGAACGCGGTCAGTTTATCAGCGGCTATCATTGGTTTTTGTTGACACGCCCCAACTCGGAAACTCGGGGCTCATTGAAAAATCCGAGTTTCCCACTAGTAAATACGACATTGTGAGGCCGTTCATGTACATCCATCTCGTAAATACGATTTCCGACACGACTTGAAGGCAGCATATACCCTGCCTGTGCGTTTCCACCTACCAAGCGTGGAAGAGAAACGTTATGTTGCACCGTTCGGAGTCCCAAATAAGGCTTTACAATTTTTAAAATCTTTTTAAGACCCTATGAACTAAAGAACAAAATTCGTATGTCTATGGAAAGTTATTATATTTTAGACTTATGTTTGACTGTTTGCTTTCAAATAATAATCACTTAAAACCTTGTATCTCCATTTTTGCTGCTTTTCAGTTTTTGTACAGTCTTACCGAAGTTTAATCCTTGACATTTTTCCAAAGTCCTCTATTTGTAAACTCAAAACTCTTGCCCTTCACCCCTAAATCTATTTCAATGTAATGTTGTATAATTTAGCACTCATTCATAATTTCTCAGATGATATACTCCAAAAAAGTAAAAAGAGAAGACTACAATTTGAAATTTAACTAGAAAAATTTTAGGATTTAATAGAAAATGCACTTTTCATAATTACAGGAACATAAAGGGAATTGAGACAATCGAGTTCCTTCTCGACGTGTATAAATCATGGTTGGTCTCTGACAACAGTCAGTTAACTGCATGGCCTCTTTAAATGTGTCCAAGCTGCTATAATTGTGTATATTCTGGTCTTTTTTTTAGCATGCCCCAAAGATTGGAAGTTTCATGGTGAGAAGTGCCATCTCTTCTCCAAAGATACTCTGAACTGGACTAGCGTTGAGACAGTCATGTTTCTGTGAAGGGTATTTGCCGATTGTATACAGTGAAAATGAGCAGTTTCATACCACTTCTTTGGTGTTCATAAGTCTTTGCACATGTTCTCATGTTCTACTAAAATCTACAAAACACATCAACTAGATTCATTATGTCTTAAAAGAATTCTTGATGAAATGGTCAACATCAAAAATGGACATAAACCGAGACAGGTTCTGGATTGGCCTGACAGATGAAAAGAACGAAAACCAATGGCTATGCGTAGACAACATGCTTATAGAGAGAATGAAACATTAGGATGTTCACATTTCTTTTTGATTGGATTTGTTGTAAAACAAATGTTGACTTCGTTATTTCACTCACTGGCACACTAATTTTTCTCAGTTTTTGGGCAGGAAATGAACCAGATGACTGGACTGGAGAATCCTTAACTGACGAGGACTGTGCATGCATGGAACAGAACGATCATCATTCTGTTGAGAGCTTGTCTGATGATACACTATACAGTATTGGGATACACCTCCTAATTATTGAGTTTAGGTATAAAGCACACTGCCACTGGACTCTGGTGCAGTGAAAACACATTCTGTGGAGTGATGAATCCTGCTTCTCTATCTGGGAGTTTGATGGACGAGTCTTGGTCTGGCGAATGCCAGGAGAACGTTACCTGCCTGACTGCATTGTTCCAGCTGTAAAGTTTGGTGGAGGAGGGATAATGCCATGGGGTTGTTTTTCAGGAGTTGGCCTAGTCCCCTCAGTTCCAGTGAAGGGAAATCTTCATGCTTCAGCAGATCAAGACATTTTGGACAATTCTATGCTTCCAACTTTGAGGGCACAGTTTGGGAAAGAACCCTTCCTGTTCCAGCAAGACTGTGCCCCAGTTCACAGAGCATAAAGACATGGCTGGGTGAGTTTGGTGGGAACAACTTGACTGGCCCATAAGGAGCCCTGACCTCAACTCCATCAAAACACCTTTGGGATGAACAGAGATTGCGAGCCAGGCCCTCTCATCCAACATCAGTGTCTGACCTCACAAATGCTGGAAATTCTGGATGAATGGCCAAAAATACCCACAGACATGCTCCAAAATCTTCTGGAAAGCTTCCCAGAAGAGTGGAAGCTGTCATGGCTGCAAAGTGGGGGCCAACTCCATATTAATGCCTATGGATTTAGAATGGGGCATCATTAAAACTCCTGTTGGTGTAATGTGTAGGTGTCCCAATAGTTTTTGTCCATGTAGTGTAACTGTGTCAAACCACACAAAGAATATGTGAAACCAAATCTCAAAACCAAACATGAAACAAGGAGTCTTTATGCATAAATTATGAAAAGTAGAACATAACTTTGAATATGTGTGGTTACATGACCAAATCACAGCAAACTGAGTAATGTAGTCTGATATAATACTGAAGAAAACCTCATTAGTATCTGTTTTTAATTCCTTCTTTCTATTCAGAGCTGTTTCTCAACTATTTTAATACTTGTATTAAACTTGGACAAAAGTGACCATTTTCTCGCAAACATTTTGATTAAAATGATACACAGGTTCATTTCTTTGTGATCACAAAAACTTTTTATCCATAAAAAACATAACATGAAATTGTTTTTTGAGAGCTTACAGGCATGAACCAAAACATTGGTTGCTTTTCCTCAAATAAAAATGTAATTTCAAACATAAAATCCACACTAAAAATGGGCAGAGGTTTGAAACAGGCAGTCCTCTTTCTTTAGTGTTGCAGAATAAAATGGAAAATGAATGAATCACAATGATAACAGCTTACACAAATGTGTAAGGGAAAGCATTATACAACAGTCAGCATCATGCTCCGTCTCTGAAAATAGTCAATAAACTACATGGCCTCTTCGAATGTCTCCAAGCTGCTTGAATTCTGTAGTTACTGTGAGTTGCTTTCCTTTTCTTTACACAAACAGGAACCATTTTAAACACAAAATGCTACAGTTATAAACAAAAGGATATAAAAGGAAAACTGAGCAATAAGCACGATAGATTGACTTACAGTACAGGACCGTTTAATAAAGAGTTGTGCGCCTGTATATTTTGAGTCCAATTACATTCTCCCAAGTGTTGGTGCACTCCACTTTCTCATTTGTCTTCGTAATGAGCCATTTTAGAACGTTGGACAGGTCTTCTCAGACTTATGGCTGTGTATAATACGGAGAAACACTCCATACTGTAACTCCTGCTGATCGATCACAGTTAAGTTGCTCCACTAATGTAAAGTTTATGTAAGTGTATTGAAATAGTACCGGTGTATACATGAGCACTTCAGTCAGAATCGCTTGCGATGTCCGAATCAGACACGCTTGTGGGCTTCTCTCTCTCCAGGTAGAGCTCTCGGACAGTAAGGATGCGAGTGAGCATGGTCTCCAGCTCCTCATCGTCCAGTGCCATGGAGGAGAACCACAGTGGGCTGTTGGGGACACAGGAGCGCTCAGGGCGCAGGTAGAAAACGTTTGTGCGCTGCTTCACTGAAGAGGAGCTGGAAGGATTAAGAAAAAACAAATAATTTTTAAGCCATGCAGGTAATCGAAAACCAAATCATTAGAGCAGGATTGTTCAGTTAGACAGATCATTTGAAACCAAAATTCTGTTCAGTCGGAGAAGAGCTAAGGGACACTTCCGTTGAATAAAAAGTTATGTAGTTTAACACAAAACGCTGTAAAATAACTCCCAGTATATACAAAAGCCCACCTCTAAATCACTTAATCAATCATCAATCCAACCAGTCTTTTAGGAGAAATACAGATGGCATAGTGGTTATTACAGATGAATAACAAAACACATTGCCGCACCATTTGGAGAGGTAGAACTCATAGAGCCTGACAGGACAGCGGAGGGGGTTCTCAGCATTCTCCTGCATTTCCATCACCACACCTTCATCATCATCATCGTCCTCTCTTTTCCTCTTGGCAGGGACTCCATCTGCATTTGAACTGCCTGTAAAACGTAAGAACAGTTAAAGACTGTCCTCACATGTTACTACACCATAATTACACCATATTTTACTTTTTATGTCCTATTGTATTTCTTTCCCCTCTCTTTTTTTTGTCTTGCTGTCAGTCTCTTTGGAAAGTACTCTAAAACTAAAAACAACTTTTAAAAGAAAAGGTCTACATACATAAAATGTTGATATTTTACTTTAGGCGGCCATTGTAATGTCGGCTCTTATAATAAAGACACACTGGCTTCCTATTCTAAAGATTTCTAGATAACATTTTATCTGTCGAAGCTTCTGAATCATGCTTAAACAGTCAAATAAAAAACAGTTTGAACAACCTTCGTCAAATTAAATTTTGTTGATTTTCTTCTACAGAGGACACATTTAAATACATTTTTCTGTAAATTTTAGTGCAAAAGTTTAACATATTAGACAAAAAATAAAACACAATATAAAAATACATTATTTAGAGCAAAAAGCAGGGATTCTAACATGCCTTTAAAATGATATTTACTGTGATTTCTTTCTGAATAAATTACTAAAAAGTTTTCTCATATACTTTCCAGCTGGTACAGACGGGTTTTCAGAGTAACACAGAAATAAAGATTACTGATTACTGGAATTACTTGTTACAGTCTGAGACAAGTAATTAGTCATTTGTAATGAATTACATTTTTAAATAACTATTCCAGCACTGACTCTTACTTTCTTTGGGCACAGGGGGGTAGAAGCGGAGGCAGGCCACTTTGCCGCTGTTGTGGGAGCGAGTGCAGCGCATGACATGAGCGAAGGAGAGACGGCGGTGCTGAGCCACAGTCTTAAAGTTAAAGAACTTAGTGCAGAAATAGAGCAGGGTGTTGAGGAGCACGCTTGGAGAAAACGCCCCCAGCTGCTTACACTCCCACAGGTACTCCTCTTCCACTCGAGAGTGCACATAGCCTGCACAAAGCACACAAAACGGACACAGAGGGATGCAGCGTGAGTAGCAGTACCAGAATCATGTTTCTGCTGAATCAAACAACAATACAAGAATGGAGGTCTTATTAGGCCTTAAACTGTACTTACTTTTGTTAACATTCATATGAGAAAATGAAAAATCCAAGACATATTTTAGCAGTTCTATAGAAAAGATACCAGTTATATATTAAAGGTTTTAAGGCTGACCAAAAGATCCCAAATCACTTGACTGCAGAGCAATTTTAGTTTCACTTTACAGTCATATGCAAAGGTTTCAATACCCCAGCTAAATTACATGTTTTGTGGATTTTGAAAATAAGTTAACACATCCTCTATAAGAAACAAACTTAAACATGGCATTTTCTGCAAATTGTAGTGCACAATGTCTATTTATTTGCCAAGTTAAACATGTATAAAAACTAAAACTAATAACTTTTGCACAGGCCACATTATGTCCCCTATGATCCTTAAGTATCTGCCAATACAGAGTACTATACTGATACTAACTCTAACTCAGCTACTGGGGAGGTGCCTCTAAATCCTTTTTAAGTATTGTGCCTTCGTTTACAATTTCACATTTGAATGGTTTCAGAACTGCACAAAAAAAAATTAAAAATTACACATCACTGTGCTGTTTGGCATGGTTTCTCTTTAAATTGTTAATTAAAGTTAATGTATTGAAATCCTAGCTGGTCTTGCCTCCCTATATTGCAATGAGCTGGCCCTGCTTGTTTCAAGCATGATATAATCCCTCACCTACATGTTGAATGCTTCAATTAGACTCCATCTACTGGAGCACATGCAACTCTCTTGCATTCATTATTGCCAATATCCAAATGGCCTGATACCTGTATTAACTCGCGAGTATCAGGACAGCACCATATTGATAAAACTAAAACGAATGAAAAAAGAATTATAACTATAATGGGGAAAGTATGTGAATGAACTTTAATTTGGCATGACAAAGCCATTGCTATGAAATCCCAGGTGGTTGCTAGGCCATTGCTAGGGTATCCCAGGTGGTTACTAATGTGCTGCTAGGCTGTTGCTATGGAATCCTAAGTGGTTACTAATATGTGTGTATATATATATAAGTGCTAGCATGTATGTGAGTCTGTGTGAGAGATTTCTTTTGTGACGATCAATCAAATTATTAATGATTATTATTATTACTCAGTTTCTCACCACTAGGCAGTATGGTTGGTGTCCAGTCTTTGAGTATGTTGGTTATACTTTGACTGAACTTGGTGTAAAACAAGTCAGCAAAGATGTTCTCCATTCGGCCATTTTCAAAGAGGTGCTGTAAAAGTAAATGACACTGTTTGAAAAAAAGGGGGCAGAGGCATAACATTACACAAATACTACAGATAAAAAGCAGTGTGTGCGATTCCTACCTGCTGGATGCCTAAGCAGAGGTAATGGATACTGTCTGGACTGTACATTTCTCCATTAGGTCGACGAACTTCACTGATGAACTTGCAGAGGCCGTAGCTCAGCTCAGCTGTGCTACACTGCAACAGGTCCTCCTTTAACATCATGTTACGAGCTGGTTCAGTGAGAAAGGAAAGAAAAGCTTAACACAGCCAAGTGTGATACACACACATACACACATACATACATACATACATACATACATTCCTCCAGCTCTTTTCCATCTAAATTTCTATCCAATTGCAGAAGAAATCCAAGATATGATGTTACAAGGTATGATCTGACTTACAGCCAATCTTTGGCGTCTCCAGGTTGGGCTGTGCGTTCCTCCAGCGTATCCAGCTCTTCCATGCTTGGACGCCGTACTCATGGTGCAGTTTGGTGATGTTTGATACACCAGACGGTGACAGCGGAGAACCACTGTTACGCTTACGAGGCTGCAGATACATACAACAGACTATATTTCTATGGACCATTCAAATAAGTCAGCATAAATAGATCAAATCTGCTTGCATAGACGATGCTACTGGTGTTAGCTGCTACAGTCGTATGAAAAAAGTTTGGGTGCTCCTGGTCAAATTAAGTTTTGTTGATTTTCTAAGTGAAAATGCACTAAGACATCCTCTACACAGAACACATTTCTGCACATTATAAAAGCACAATTAGAGTTTGGTTGTTGAATTTAACATATTAGAAAATAACATAAAACAAAGCCCCATGCAAAAGTTATTTTATGCACATATTTTATGCTTTATTTTTCCACTATGTTAAACTTAGATTTAGAAAAATTAACATAACATTTAAATGGAGTTTTAAAACTTTTACCATACAACTGTAGGGTGAACTGAACTAATGTACTATATACACTGTATACTAATGTATGATGTATAAGAGGTTATACTCTTATGTTCATACTCGTTTTTTCTGAGGGAAGCCGTCCCGGCCTCTCCTGCGAGGTCTCTGTCTGGAAGTTGAGGTCTTTTCCTTTTGTGTACGCTGTTCCAAAAGCTCAAAACACTCTAAAACATAAGATCAGGAACGAGCACATCATTAACAGTTAAGGTAATATATTGTAGTTCTATGGCAGAATTTCTTTCATGGGGTTTATCTGAAACTGACACTTATCTCAGCTCTTACCAGCTGGGAAGTCTGCCTCCAGGTCCATCTGTGGCTCTTGTTGGGTGGGGTTGGGTGTGGGGGTAGATGAGGGGGTGGGGCTGGGTGACCGTGGAGTTTGCTTGGGTGGGGGTGGAGGAGGAGGTGGAGGTGCTTTCTCAGGCTCTGAGTGTCGACCCCATCGAGAGGCACTGGAAACACTGTCCTCCTCCCAGCTCAGATTGCTGGACAGAGCTTCCAAATCAAAATCTTCGATGAAGTTATCTTCCTGGTCTGAGCGACAGAGACACAGGCCTTGTGTGAATCTCAGTAGAGATTCCAGAATATGATACTGTCAAGATACTTGACCAACAATCTAAATCAGTGAAATGAATGAGTCTGATTTTTCTTCTCCCTTCTCAAAAGGAGTGGATCATCATGTTTGGTGTCTTAAGTTTGCTTCTTTTAGTTTTACACCCAATCTACAAGGCTAATGCAGCTAAAAACTAACAGGCGTCTAACTTTTTGGATGACATACAGTACTGTGCATGCTTCACTTTAATTTCTAGTCAGTGGGAGGTATCAGAATGAAACATGCATTGACCAAGACGATTACAATTGGGGGAAGTCTCAGAGCAAACAATGCAGTCATTAGGATTCTGTTCAGAAAGCAGCACACACTGCATAATACAAACTCAAACCACTGTGTTTTGAACAAGATGTCGTTCTGCTTCAAAATGTTTTTGGTTTGAAATACACTGCCAGCTTTACTAAGAAAAGGAAATGGACAAAAAGTAGTAAATTTGCAAAATCAATCAAAGAAGCTGCTGGCGTTCTCAGAACAAAGGACTAACCACCCCAGTCCAGACGTCAACATTACTGAATATGTTTGAGACTATCAGGATTGCACAAATCCAACTAACTTCTAAGACAGACCTTTTGGAGGTCCCTGTGGATTTCTTTGAAAAACTCAAAACTGTTGAGGCCTCTGTATACTTTTCTGTTAAATATATGTTTTCTGTTTTTTCCTGACTCAAATAACTTGTGCTTAATGGCCATTTTGACAGAAAATTAAATAAGTTAAGGATGTTCTCTGACCTTTGCACAATACTGTAGACTTCTTTTATATTAGACTCGTAGTTCTAGTGCAAAACTAAAAAAAGCAAACTTGTCTCATGAACTACATTTGGGGTAAGGAAGAAAACTCTGTAAATGTCATTTTTCTGTGAACCACTCCTTTAAGACTCTTTGACATGAACCCCTTCATAAGGGCTGACTTTATATCACACATACATCAGATATTATCATTACATATGCAATGTAAAGCTCCTCACTTTGTTCACCTCCTTGGGAGGCAGTTTTATTTTCGCTGTCTTCTGCCACCATCTCAGCCATCATGATCAGGTCTGCTTCTAGTGGGTTGTCTGGGATTTTCTCTTTGATCTTCTGAATAGTTTCCACTATTCGCTCAGCACTGTCCAGAGTTGTGGGCAGAAACATGGGCACTGGCACCTACAGAGACAGAGATAAGCAGACCAGTGATGTCTCACCTGCACTAGGAGATCTGAAGGGAGAAACTGAGCTGATCAATGTAGATGGAGTAGAAATACTGTTTGTAAGCCAGTCACAATTATTACTTAATTATTCAAGCCAGTTGCAATTATTTAAGCCGACTGCAATGATGTCCCACTGTTGTTAGCTTTAACAAAACATGTCTGAGTCACAACAAACTTAATATGAACAAGGTGAATTTTCCTGAGTTGGACTGAGGTAAATACATGTAAATAAGTTCTGAATTCTGATTGGTGCTATAACACCTAGACATTGGAGCGGTGAGTGAAGTTTATTTGAGCCCAAGCTGTTTCTGTCATCAGTTGGGAGCTAAGAGGTATTGACAGCTATGAAGCAAGATAGCGAATCAGTTCATTTGGCCACTTTAGGCGTGTACTTTAATAGCTATATGCCATGAACAAAAAAAGTCAAATGTAATGATCATGACAAGGATAACTGTTTGTGCACATGAAAAAAAGCACAGAGTAACATTCAGGACATTATAAGCAGCTCACCGGTAGAGGAAATCCTACAGCATGTGGTGTGTACTGTGTGTAGAGGTGCATAGGTACAGGAACATACACTGGCACTGGTAAAGGTAACACTACCACTTCAGGCAGTGTTTTATCTATGGGGAAAAAAAAGTGTGTAAGTACACAAAGTAAGCCTCCTGAGAGTGTTTTGTATTGAAAGATATAATAATGATCAGTACCTGTCTGGATGTTCACATCACATGTATTGGGTTTGCAGGAGGTGCCCTTGTTCAGGCTCATGGGTTTACATAGCAAAGCTTTGTTCTTCAGGATTCTGGGTGGTGGAGCAGCAGCTTGTTTCACACCGTCTGTCTGTGTGCTGGCCTAAAAAGTCCACATCACACACACACACACACATATGTATATGTTGAGGGAAAGTGGTACATTTAACCTGACAACATCTCTTCTAAACAGCCTGTAAAGGAGTTTGATCAATCAAAAGCAAAATAACAGTGTTCAAGTTTCAAGCCAGAAAAATGTGGATATGCTGGTCTTAATGGTCCAAAATTGCAGATCCTTTAATTGGACTTTAATTTATAAGACAAATAAATTAAATAAAAAAATAATATAATAATATGCAATAAAAATTGCAGTTTGATATTTTCCCCCAAATTTCTCCCAAATTGGATGAAACAATTAAAAAAATAAAAAAAATAAAATCCGGACTACATTTACAATCTATTAGACGGTTGCGCCACTCGGGAGCCCCACAATCTATATACTTTACTGGACAAAGCTTTTGTGTCTTAAAGGGACACACAGATATGGAATTGTAGGGCGATGACAATAGTCATAAACATTTATATCATGTAGAAATTCAGACTAGGTCCTCCCAGATTAGCATTACGAACGAATATAACATTTATTTCTAATTACTAGTTACGAATACAGTAAAACTAATAAAATACAGATATCTTAGCACTGCAGCCCAGTATGACGGAAACATTCTGCTCTTCCACAGTTTAATAAACATGTCATCAAATATTGGTCTAAAATACCAGACACATCTGAACATCTATCCAGCGGCAATATTTTTAAGCAAATATCCGTCAATACGGTCACATTTCCATTGTGCATCCCTTAATTTTTTTTTAAAATCAAGTTATCAAGTTTAACTGATCGTGACAACCCTATCACATAGCCAAACAAGGGAATGCCTGAGAAAAAAAAACACAAACAAACATTCAGAGGCTGTCTCTTTGCACACTTACATGTCCCATCAGTTTCACACAAGCAGGAACAGTGCCTGAAACACAAAAGTAAAATGTGAGCAGAGACAAAAACAGAAAGTCTTAATAGCATCAACTAATGCAGCTGCTGGAGGAAGCAGACAGAGATAGAGGGAGGGGAAATTACCTTGCAGGGCAGTACTTCCTAGGACATTTGGCTGCCCACTGGTAGCATTAGATAATGATATAACATTGGCAATAACAGGTGTGGCCTCTTTCGTAACCAGCGATGTCTGTGTTGTCATAGTGTTGGGCCCTGCAGGTTGGAACACTGGTCCTACTGAGATTGGACCTGCAGAGATGAGGACAATGAAGAATGAGAAACTGCGCATAGATACATAGTGGCTGCTGAGAAAGGGAAAAGCTGTCATTAATGTTTTGCTGGGTCTTACCCTGTGCGACCGCAGGCTGGGCAACTGCAGGCTGTGCGACCACAGGCTGCGCAACCGTAGGCTTGATAGCTTGGACAGTGGCTGTCGGGTTACCCTGCAGACTACAGAAGTACATCAGACACTGCAGGCTACAGAAGTGCTTCATCTCTCCCAGCCACTTAACAGACTCCACCATCTTCTTGGCTCGCTTACATGTGCAGCACTTAGCCACCTGTGCAGAGTTTTAGGAGAAACACTTAAAATAATCACATTAGGCTATCTCCAGTATTTCTTACCAAACAAAGTCTGTATTGTGCTGAGCTGTACTGTAAACTATTTATTTAGGGTGGCAAGTGACCCCATACTTTGCAGAGACCTGAGGGGCTTGGAGGCTAAGTCTTTCTAAATTTTTGACATACACTTTTCTTTTACAGTCCCCTAAGTTCTAGGTATTAACCAGGAAAAGTGTGAGATACGAACTAGGGTAACATGATGGTAAGTACCAATACAGTCTAATTTAATTACACTGAAATGCCTGTCAGGCTTTTGGTATTAAGTTTAAATGGAACATGGTAAAATACCTGAGAAATGCATGACCATTCTGAGTAAAAAGGTGGTAATTACAAACATGCACATCATTTCACAATAAAATGATACGATTAAGCAGGAAATTACCAGTTATAGTTAGGACGACATAAAAAGATTTTTTTTCCTATTACATGGTGCTTATCCCTGATTTAGCCTGCAAATGAAACATTATTATACAATATTGTATTGCACAACTTCTGAAAGCAGAGTTAATTTCACTGGTGCTACAGTTACACCAAATTAGAAAACTAAAAAACTACTGATTTAATGGTCCTCAACAATTCTTACAGCTTCAAACTAGATCGTCACTATTACAGAGCATGTATCTACATCTTATAATGTATTAATCTGGAACTTCAAACAAATAAACAAGATGTAATAAGGAGCTCAGATACTAAGTAGAATCTTACATCTATTAGCTAGAAAAAAAAAAAAACTGGACCTGAATTGTAAAAGAAAGCAGGGATACTTTCTATGGTTTTACTGGGTTCCTCACATGTAGTTCAGGAAACTAGACACTTGTAATACAACCTGCTGCAAGCATAGTGTACAGTGTTGAGTACATATCTTTCTGCTTAATAAAGAGGTAGAAGGACTGTAAAATAAAGCAAAGATTCCTTCTACGGTTTTACCAGGTGCTTAACATGAAAACTAGCCACTTGTTATGCAAGTGTAAATGAACTGAAAGAGAAAGCAGGATTCCTCACAATGGTGATACCTGTTTGTCACTTTTGAATGACAACTGTCTTGGCACAATAATTCCTGTACATTAAATTGTACAATATTAAATTGTACCCGGTAAGTATGGTCCCACTGTGTTGTAAAAGGAAATGGTATAGATGACCATGACTTTACTTTGTCCTTAAAGCTCTTTCACTCTGCCCTAATGTAAACCGTACTTACCATCTTGTTACCCAAAATAATTACCTAGTATTTTGGAGTTTGTACCTCACACTTACCTGTTTAAGTGCCTAGAACTTAAGGGACTGTATAAGAAAGGGCTACCCACTTTACATGACAGATCAAGTAGACACTATATCATTCAGAAAGCCTGGTAAACCACCTTCACAGACATATGTTATACTAGTTTGATGCAGTTGACTCCATGTGCAGATAAAGAACCTACCTCCATGAGGCTGAACTTTGCTTCTTATTTAAACTTTTCACCTTAAATGCTTCTCTAGAGGCAATATTTGCCTAATTACAACTCATTACAAAGAAAAACAGCACAGCAAAGACTCTCCTGACTATTCTTGAGCAGCAAATTGGGAAGAACTGAATGCCAAGTGTTCACAGGCTTGTAATGCAATCCCCCCTGGGCAAATGAGGCATGGGAGTTTAATGCTCGCTCAGGCTAAATAGCGCTGCCATACAAATACGTATTTAGCGAGTGTCTGGATATCGCAGTTAGACGAAACTCTCTCTGAATAAATTAAACATAATGGTACGTCCTTATAATTAACAAGAAGAATAAATCAATACTTTGCTGAGGAAGTGAGAGCTATGAAAAGGACCGCACCGAATGTGCTCTATTATAGACTATTCCGATCTCTTCTCAAGCAACGTTAGCATAGTGACTTCTTTTTATTGTCTATATCTAAATAGTGAAGTAAGGCAAGACCCTTACTAAACAGCCTACCTCATCACTAAAAAGTGAAGTCACGACAATGCTAGCAAACTCTAAATGAACTCTATGCTGAGCACAGTCGATTCTATTGGCATGCTATGTACTGATCAGCAGAAATGGAAGGCAGATCCAAAGAGTTAAAAAAAAAAAAAGAAAATGTTCCGGTAGTGTTGTAGTTTACCTATTTAACTATTAGAGGTTCACGCATAATCATTTCTGACTCCTGCACCTTTAAACATTTGCAAGATCTCTTTTTCTGCCATCACAGGACTCCTTCTGGTAAACTTGAGCCTATTATCAGTCACTCTCTTATTGTGCTGAGAAAACTACAACATGAATACAGTACTAGTCAGTTTACACATACCTACCAGAAGCATGGCTACAAGGGTGCCAGCTCCCACCCTTAAAATAAGCCTTGCCACCCCTAGTCTGACCTCAAGAGAAATACATCGATCAGCCATAACATTAGAACCACCTCCTTGTGTTTACACTCACTGTCCATTTTATCAGCTCAACTGACCACACAGGAGCACTTTATAGTTCTACAAGGTGGACCAACAAGGTAGGAGGGTCTAATAGAGTGGCAGTGAGTGGACAGTGTTTAAAAACACCAGCAGCACTGCTGTGTCTGATCCACTCGTACCAGCGCAAAACACACTAACACACCACCACCACGTCAGCGTTACTGCAGTGCTGAGAATGATTCACCACCCAAATAGTACCTGCTCTGTGGGGGTCCTGACCATTGAAGAACAGAGTGAAAGGGGGCTAACAAAGTATGCAGAGAAACAGATGGACTACAGTCTGTAATTGTAAAACTACAAAGTGCTCCTATATAGTAAGTGGTGCTGATAAAATGGACAATAAGTGTACAAACAAGGAGATGGTCTTAATGCTATGGGTGATTGGTGTGGGTAACATATTTTGGTATAGGCGTAAACTGCTGTTTCTTCCTCTGACTGACTCACAGACACATAGTTAGCCATGTTTAGTGTAGACTGACATGATTCATTATCCAGATTTTTGTGCTTGGACGTACGTGAGCAGTTCATAGCAGGACGTACATTGATGTTAGATTTTCATGTATTTTAATACGTTTTTTACTTTGTAAAAGAACATGATCATATTCACAACACAGACTAAGAAACATTGACGCTAGCTACAAAAACATCCTTGATCTGCATGCCAGCACAATGCAAGATGTGTGTCACCAAGAGTCAAATTGTTACCAAAGAAAAGACTACTGCTGGATCCACAGGGTGCATTAAAATTGTTCTCTCCAGGATGGAGAGAAAAATCCACACACTCTCTCTTTAAAGGGCCCATATTTACATTTTCCTTGAATGTTATTTTTTCTTTGAGGTCCAATGATGACATTTTTGTGACTTTATGTACTTAAAGCAGTCATAATTGATGTTTAGGTTATGATTTCCAACCTCTTGCTATCCCTTATGATTAAATAGGCTGTTTTTTGTTACTTTAAGACTGCTATATGTAAATGACCTACATTCAAAAAGCAGTATGGTGCTAAAACATTTCAGTGTGAACGGACAGGTCTAAATTCCTTCAGGCTGAATAGGCAGATATGTATGTGGTATGAGGTATGTGTTGGTTTTCGTGGCATCACAAAAACAGGGAATTGAAATAAGGCCTACACTGCTATATATGGAATATCTGGACTGGGGGAGTGAACGGTATGTGCTGAAACTTTAACACTGCTTACATACTACATTAAACTGTTATTTCAAAAAAGTGAGAAAAGTTCAGTTTTCTGTGATATGGGTCCTTTAAGCTAATTCACAGGGCCTATACTATGACCCTACAGTGTTTTGAATGCAATGAGCTGATTGTCCCTACTGGTAGCACCCTTAATAAACACCGTACCTAATAAAAATCTACCTCATTGTTAGAAAGTGAAGTAATGATAATGCTTAGTAATGCTGGCAAACTCTAAATAAACTCTGGCCTGAACACTGTTGATTCTATGTGCTTGTGTTGATAGGTGGCAATAGAAGGCGGATCCAAAATCAGTTTTCCATTATATGGGCCTTTTAAGCTAAATCACAGAGCCTATACAACTGCCCCACAGGGTCTTAAATGCAATAAGCCGATTACCCATATTGGCATTTGTGTAGCATTAGGGCAGCTGGAATCCCCATTATCTCTAGGTTTTTGTGAACAGTGTCCTGAGCGCTGTTATTATCTTATTTCTGTACCATCTTCGAATTACACTTATTTCAGATACATGGTATACCTTATGACTCATAATTTATGTTCTCATCTGTACCCTTAATGCGATGTACTCTGGTACTCATTGCCTGCCGGTTATCTCAGTGTCAAATCTGAACAAATAATAAAGGTTCCCAAAGTGAGCAAATGAATATGAAAATTACGTCATTAGTATGTATTGTGCATTGTTCTCTGAGCAAGAGAAATAACCAAAGGAAAAAAACTGCATAAGTAAAGCACTTAGCAGATATTACCTGACAGAATAACAGTGTGTACTGAGACAAACACTCATTTCCGCAGAACTCCTCCTGTTTCCCAGAAAATAAACCGAGCACCAAAGTCTGAGAGGTGCTGTTGCAGTAGAGGCAGTTTCGACAGTGTTTCTTCCCCCAGCGTTTGGCAAGGTCATGCTTGTAGAGTAGTTTGCAGCCTGTGGAAGCACAGGTAGATTTATTTCCTGTCGTAAGATCGCACACATTTCAGATCTATACTGGAGAACTTCAAATATGGAACAGTGAAACAGCAAAAGTAGCACGTAAGGCCTTACCCTCACTACAGAAAGAGCAGTCAATGTTGTTAATCCTCTTTATCTCCTTCACCACCTTGTCGATTTTGCAGTAAACACACTGTGCCATGATGTAGTTGGTCCTCCTGAACTCGTCGATACAACCCTTATCACAGAATGCATACATCTTTCCCTGCAAAATCAAACACGATTCAAACCCAGCAGAGTTAGAAACAGGGTCCTAATGACAAATTATGGTGCTCAACATCCACAACCACCAGCTAATTTCTCTCTTCTGCATTCAGTGCTGCAAATTCATGAATTTGGGCTACCTTCACATCAGGTAAGCCTTAAATGTTACACAGATCTGATTTTTCAGAATCAGAACTGAGCCACTTTCAAATGTGGTTTGAGTAAAGGCCATGTTACCTTAATGAGCACTGTAAGAATTCATGTGTTTCCCCAAAATTGCACCCGAAGAAAAGAACTGACCACTTTTTACCCATTATCAACATTATATATAAAAACTCAGAGGTTCACTGGTCATTTTTGATAATAAATGACATGAAATAAAAGATATGACTTAGTAAGTTTTTCTACAATTAAGTATTTCAAACCTCTCTGAATGAGTTTGTTTACATCTCAACTACTGAATTTTACAGAAATTTTGAAACATTGGTGGCATTCCCCTTTTAAGTCTACATCTCATCAATAAATTGTGTAGCCAGTCTACTTCTATCCAACAGGATAGTACCTTAAAGTCCAGCAGCTCAGGCTTGCGGAAGAAAGCGCGCTGACACTGGGCACAGGGAATTTTGGTCACTGCTGGGATCTGAAGAGCCCCAGAGGAGCTGGGCTCTGCAGAAAAAGGTTTGGTGGAGGCAGGCTTTGAGGCAGACTGGGAGAGAGTGGTGCTCAGGGATGGTGATGCAACATTCAGCTGGTTCTGAGAGTTTGTCTTATTAAAGGAATCCTAACAAAAATGAAAAATAAAACAGAGAATAAAATGATCTATAAAAACTGTAAAACAACTGTGAAACAGAAAGAGAAATTTTATTAGCACAAACTACTTAAGATTAAACAACAAAGTCAGTTCAGAATGTTCTGGAGAAATCTGAACAGTACCTGAAAAGATACCACACAACTGAAGGAGCAGAAGTTGCGGATAGTACCATCCGACATGGCGAGGTGGTACTGAGGCACTTGAATGAGCTTACAGTTGTTGCATTCCACTGCAACACCTTAATGTAGTGGAAAAAGAACAAATCAGTATATATATAAAACAAATTATGAAGACTAAGGGGCTGCAAATAGTCTGCACATAGTTTAAGATGCAGTGTTACAGATAATAACATCTCAATATAAAGAACAAATCTGAAACAACACAGCCAGAGAACACAGTCACATTACCTGATGAGCTGACTGTCTGCACTTTGTATGCAGTCACACATGCAGAAGAGCAGAACAGCTCTCTGCTGCCCTCTGCGTTTGTGCTCTCCACCATGTCTACCACAGCATGATAACCTCGGCACATCGTGCAGGGGACAGGCTTTCCATACTTCTGCAACAAAATAAAAAGATAGATACATAGACAGATAGACAGACAGACCCGAATGTGTAAACCTCTGAATGCGTAGACAGAGTATATAATCTCTGACATCACTATGATTTGATTACGATTCTTTAGAAAAACGTTCTTCGATGCACCAATGAAATATTTTGGTACAATTCAGAATTACTGTTGAAAACCCACAAAAACAAATGTGCCTGGAAAAACTATTTACACAGTAGTGGAACACAATAAAAACAATACACCAAGCTGTGTTTTTTTTTTTTTTGGGGTGATCTTTTAATTTGAAAATAGCCTGAGATTTTAGTTTGGCCAAAAAATAGCACATATTTTATTGTATGTTATGACAATAAATATAACGTATTCTAACACTTCAGATCAATGTCATATCAGTGCACATCAACCTTTTTTGCTTTTATTTAAATTACCACCTTTAGACTGAGACTTTATGATGTATTTTTATTAGGGCTGTCAACGATCACAACTGATCACATGTAGTTGATTGTGTTTTATCGCATTTGTCTTATTTGCCCAAATTTGACCTGATAGAGGCTTTTCCCCATTTAAAAAGCAGTACATGTTGTTTTAGCTACATGAGCGTACAAAATAATTGTCTTCAGCAAGTATTTATTACTTTCAGTAATTCAATAGCACTCTTTTCATTGTGTGAATGCACATAATCCTAAACACGAAAATCACATGATTTCCACAGAGTGAACACAGTTACATCCAGTGAAAGCAACAGTTTGAGGCATCTTGCTGTCATACTGCTATGTATTGTTTGGAGGGGAGCTTTAGTTTTCCACTTTGATATTGCTTTTGTTAGTTTACTGATTGTTAATTTATCCATAGTTCTCCTGCGAGTACTGTCCAGAGTAGTCTGCTGAAGGCATCGTCCAGTGTTAACCTTACTGATATTACTGATATTGCCGGCATCAGCAGTGAGTCTTGCTTGTAAATGATACTCAAGACTCAATGTGCTTTGGTGATAAACAGTATGGCAACACACAACACGCAGCTGTCTAGAAGGGTCATAACTAGGAAAATTCTTTAACAGTGTTAAAAAAAATCGTTTGTCACAGAATTATAAATGTTACCTTTTTGAAGGCAGTGATGCAGTTCTGGCTGCAAAACTTTTTAACAGCACCGTCTATCACCAGGGTGGGACACTGGCCATCTCCGCCGTAACAGTAGCCTCCACAGTGGACACAGCAGTTCATGGTTAGCTTATTGGAGGCTCGGAACTGATTGAAGCAGGCATCACTGCACAGTTTATGGACACTGCCCAAGTAGTTAACCTCATGTCGAGTCTAGCAGAGGAGGAAAAATAAAAGCTGTTAGACAAGACAGACATTCCCTTTCTTCAACAAAGACATTTTTAAAGCAAGCCATCATTCAGAGCATCACAAAATGGCATTAGGTGGTTTCTTACTTACAGGGCAGGCTTTTTGGCATATGCTGCATTTTGTGCCGTTATGGTCAGCACCGAGAGCAGAGTTTGCACTGTCCCTCTTATAGTTAAAGGCGCTGAGGCATTTCTGACTGCAGAAGTCCTTCATGGCCCCTGCTGAGTCCACCGGGGCAATGATGACATCCTTTGGGTTAGGAATCTCCCTGGAAACGGAGAACACAGTGAAGACATTTCATTCTGCTCTGAATGATGCACTAACTTTGGCTCAGACTTAAACCAACCTCAGTGCCTTCACACACCATATGTCAACAAAACAGCGCCTTTACATACCATGTGTCAACAAAACATGTTTCAGAAGGTATCTTGCATACCTATCACAATTTCACAGATGCGAAATATGTGACATTTGATTAGGGAACATGGGAACTGTGGGCTGATGCAATGTCAAATATTTGTTCATTTTCTGACAATGCCAAAATCAATAGATAAACATTTCTAAAATAATTCTAAACTGGGACTAGATCGACTTGCAATAGTATTACAGAGAAATTATTTTTGTAGTGTTGCAAATGTAATAAAATGCATCAATTTAGCACAGCATCCCACCGTCACCTAAACATTCTGATCTTCCAGTCAATATATATTGGTCAAATCTCAACGTCTGTCCGATGCATATTTTTTTAGAACAATTATCTGGTGATATCTGCTCTTGGCATAGCAACAATCAAGACGATTAACCATAAAAAGCAGCTCAAATTATTCCAGACATCCTAGAAAACGTCTGAAAGCGGTAAAATTTCGGTCAGTCCTTCCCAAACATTTTTGGTTCATTTATTGGCGCTGTTACATCCTTCAGTATGCAACAGCCTTAAAGACAGCTTGGTCAGGAGAACATAATCAATATAGTTCCAAACACAGACATATTTAACAGTCCCTCACGAAAAGATATTTTTATATTAAGAATGCACTCGGTTCTCTAGCAAGATGGCATATAAAAACCAAAAAAATGTCGCCAAACATAACGTGAAAGCATGTTTATGCCACTTTTCTCTCAACCCAAAACAAGCAATGAAGGCTTGATATACAGTACTCTGCAAAAGTCAGAGACCACCAGAGAACACCATTCATTTCATTTCCAGTCAAAACGGCCATTAACAAAAGAACCTGGACCCAGTTCACTTTATAAGGGATATAAAACAGACCAAATGGGCACCATGAAATAAATTTCTCAATTATTTTTGCTACCTCCTAGTGTCAAAAAGTTCGAAAAGATGCAGTGGCGCTTTACAGGTCTCGGAGGAAGCCTGTGTTTGCCTTCACCCTCTTAGCGTTAATAGTATCGTGTGATGGTGTTAGGAGTCCTAACTAGCGGGTGGAATTGGAGACGACTAAATTGGGGAGATAAATAAAAAAAAAATAAATTAAAAAATAAAACTGTTCACAAATAATTGGTAAGAAACTCTGAAGGGAAACGAAACATTTGTATTATCAGCACCATGTTTTAACCATCCATTATCAGTCCTTATGTCTGGTAAGCAACAATTCCTTTCCTCAGTGAAGCAAAGACGCACATCGTATTCCTCACAGAGGGTGGTGGTCACATTGACTTTGCAGACTTTACAATGGCCATGCCTCTGAAGGGCACCATTTGTTTATCAAAAAAGTTGTGCTCTTCTTGGGTGATATATAGGCATTGTTTGCGAAACATATCAAGCCATGGATGATCTTCCAACACCTATCCTCTTCTTGCCTGTTGGGCAAATCAGTGTCTTCAGTGAAATGTAGACATGACAGCAGGGTCTGAAAACGGTTGCGTGACGTGCTGTCAGCCACCATGGGACACCTCGTGTCATTTTCCCCAGTACGCACGATTTCCCGGCATTTGGCAAAGACTCATACGCAGGTAAAGGCCAATCAATATTTCCAGCTCTTTAACAGTGGTGTTAACATTTCTGTGACATTCAGATTTTTGTACACTGTACAAATTTGTTTGTACCATCAGTAACTCAAGCATTTCTGCTGTTATGAACCTTCTGAAATACTCCAGTGGAGTATGAAGACTGTCTGGGGTGCAACACTCTTCCTTTGAATGTGCACTCAGGGGTTTCAAAAGGAAAGTTATTTTTTCCCCTTGGATTGCTATATTTTGCTGTCTGGGGTTCATGTTTGTTTGCGGTACAGTATCTAAATAATTTGATTCACTACTTTCTGAGTCTTTGTCACTGGGAGTGTAATCAGGACCTTCAGGGTCTTCATCTGAGCCATCTTCACATCCCTCAAGCTCACTGTCATGATGATCCAGTGACGATCTTGAGTGCATTCTGAAGACTGTATCAGTTCTTGTTATTCATACTTCAAGTAAATAAAATTATATTAAATAGGATCAACACAGGATAGTAAAATTCTTGTTTGTTTGTTAAATTTATCAAGCAAAGTGTCTCAGCTAAAGCCAAGGTGCAGTTTCAGTCCTGATATACAAAAATAAACAATTCAATTTTTATGTTTAGGTTTGTTTAAATATGCTTTGAACTGAACACCAGAAAATATACTGATTCAAAATAACAAAAACAGTTAAATTAATTAAATGGCTGATTTGCCTTTTTCTTACTGTGACAAAGAGGTCACATGACATCTTCTGTAAGTATTTTAATGAGACCATGGTGACATATGGGTCACAAACCCTTTAAAAGGTCTGAAACGTTCCTTACACACCTTTATCCTTGACTTTAACTCATGAACTGGCTTAGTGACATATACTGAACATTCTGGGACAATTTGCGAATTTGTGTACAGGTGATCTCTTTTAAAAAATGGCAGTGTGCTTGACTAGTGCAAGAGACAAAACCAGCTAATTTTAATGTGTGGATTTGTTTCTAAAGGTATATTTCAACCCATTTAAAAACACTAATGCTTTATTAACATTTCCTATATTACATTTAAGTTATTTTTTAATGTGTCCAACGTTTGCCTTTATTACAGCTTCCATTCTTTCCAGGAGACTTTCTTTCAGTTTTTTCAAAGAAATCTGCAGAGACATTTTCAAAGTTCAGTCTTAGAAATTGGTTGCACTGGTTACATTTTCTGCTTCGCACGATCCAAATAATCCCAAAGACATTCAGTGATGATTAGGGTCTGGACTCTGGGGTGGTGAGTCAATTGTTCTGAGCAGCTTCTTGTGTGATTTGCAAATTTTCTTCTTTTTTGTCTATTTCCTTTCTCCATAATGGCTTCTTGACAGGCACACATTCTTTCAGACCCGTAGCGTTGTGTTGTTTTCTCACAGTGGAAGAATAGACAGAAACACTTGTGGATTTTTCAGATCTGAAGCAGTTCTGGTGGTCTACCAGGGGAGTCCTATTTCCTCTGTATCTTTTATTAATTTTTAGAACTCCAGTTATATAGAGTAACCCAGTGGTTTAACTGATTTTACACAAAGAAAGTGTCATTTAGCACTTTGTTCTACAGAGCAGAATACAAGAAATAAACTAATACTCACTTGAGGCAATAATGGCAGCTTTTTTTAAGGGCAGGCTTGACCACCAGGTCGGTTGCTGTACTGCAGAGACACTGTGGCGAGCAGAAGAGCTGGGGAGAGCCCTTACGCTGGAACGCTGTCTGGCCCTTAAGGAGAACTTTCTTACAGCCTGAACACACTACGCACAGGGAGCTGGCAGGAGTCAGGCCAGAAGCAGAGGAGTTAGATGATGCCTTTGCTGAGGTGCTTACAGCTTGAGAGCCTGTGCTGGACCCTGTGGAACAAACACAATGCACAGTACAGTTTATCAAGACTGACAAAGACTTTTTGATAGGACTGGCCTGAATAATACGAAAACTCAAGCATGCATTTGTTATGTTGGTTGTTTGTTTCTCTATTTAGTATTCAAAAGCTTTTTAACCACCAAAATTGCAGCCTAAAATAAATTAAAACCAGCAAGGGCCTTTACATAGAACAGTGACTGTTAATACATGGAAAATGCTTAGAAATAAATACATTTGAGCTGGGTTAGTTGAATGTGTCATAAATTCATACCAGATGTCAACTTGCCTCAGAGGGCAATAAACTGAAAGCACACGTGGGAGCACTTAAATGCACAGTCCAAAATTTGAAATAAGACTTTGTAGTTTCATGAATCATCTCAAATATGAAAAAAGTGCAGTGATCCTTATCTGAGTACTGTCCAATCTACATTGCCTCCAACTCAGTTAGCTCATTCTCCTCATTTATTTTCTACTTAAGCAGTTTCACAGCAGTTTTATTATAACAACAGCATATGTCAAGGTCAGGGACACATTTGTCAGTAAACGAATAGTCGGTCTTTGCAGTCAATGTGTTGGAAGCTATCCCGTTTGGTCTGAACCAACAGAAGGGCTATTCTGGCACAAATCACAGAAATATTTAATGATGGTTATGGGAGGCACATGTCACACACAGTGCGTCACACCCTGTTGATTACGGGGCTGCATTAAATATTTCTGTGAGTTTCAGAAGTATCAGAAGTGGACCTTGGGGCAATGGCAGAGGTCATCTTGTCCAGCGAGACCTGTTTTCATTTACATCACGTGGACAGCTAAGTAAGTGCGTTTTGTTTACCTGGAAAAGTGATGGCACCAGGTTGCACTGTGGAAAGACAGCAAGCCAGTGGAGGGAGTGTGATGCTCTGTGCAATGTTCTGCTGGGAAACCCCGGATCCGGGCAATCATGTGGATGTCAATTTGACACCACCTAAACATTGTGCGGACCAGGTACACCCCTTTATGGCAATGGAATTCACTGATAGCAGTGGCCTCTTTCAGCACCCTGCCACACTACACACACTGTTCAGGAATGATTTGAGAAACAGGAGGAAGACTTCAGGGTGTTTCCCTGACCTCCAAATTCCCAGATCACAATCCAACTGAACATTTGTGGGATGTGCTGGAACAAACAGTGCGATCTGTGACAGTTCCACCTCACAACTTACAGAACTTAAAGGATCTGCTGTGAATGTCTTGGAACCAGAAACCACAGGGCAGTGAGCTGTTTTAGTGGCACACAGAGGACCAACAGCATAACAGGCATACTGTTTTGGCTCATCAGTGTAATTTAGAACACTACAGAAAATGGGAGAGTGTGATCTGAATGGATCTCTATGAAGCTTAGATTTAACTCAAGCTCAAGTAGAACAACAGGCCCGCTCCTTGACGACTTCATTTAAATGTAAATGGAGTGCCTGTTTTTTTCCCTAGTCAGTTAAGCTTTCCACATCTGTTGGGATTTTGTCATATGTTTCACTCTGATTGGTCATTTGTATGTGCATGTGTTCGCACTTTCATGAAGTGGGTTTTATCAGTCTGTTATTAAAAAAACTTCTGCAAGCAGTTGCCCACCCTGCACACGATCTCTGATCTTTTCAGAGTGAGATAGTCGCTAAAAGTTCGAGTAGAAGTTCATGACATCATATCTTTTGAAGTTATTCAATTTTATAAAAGCTGTTCAATTTTTCGCTTCAGCACTTTTTAATTACATTTTAAGAGACATATCCTTGCATCTTTGCAAGCACATACTGATGTGTTGTCTACTTAGGGAGCATAATTGTACCACAATCCATTGCAGTTACAGTCTTATAGTCTTGTCAGGCTTTTTATTTTATTGTTCTGTTTTAAAACATTAGATTATGAAAAGGTATAAATATGTACCTTCCCCTGGGAAAAACATACCTAAGGTACAGAGTTGGACCCTTAAATCCTTGTTGTACCATCAAGGGTACAACTACAATTTTTGTACCTTGATGAGCAAAAAAATGTACCTGCATAGAACCCCCTGACAGTGTAAGGCAGCCTGTATGGAAACACTGTTTGAAATGGAAGCATGTCTAGTCTGTAAGACAGACAACTAATATGCTTTATTGTTGTTTTTAAAGGTGATTTTGAAAATGAGTTATTTGAGTAGACTAAAATGCTGGTCCACTCAGCCCTACTTTTTGACAATAACAAGCAAAACAGTTGATAATAACAATAATAATAATAATAATAATTTAAAAAATGGACAAAACTTGACATGCTTTTATAAAGTGATGCTACAATGACACATTTCCAAGATTAGTTCAGAATCTTAAGAAATAGCTCACTTTTGAGCAGAAGTCTGTATTTAACATTGGACAACTCCTTCTCATTTTCATACCTATAGGTGCAGAATTTCTCCCAACACTGAACACTGCACTGATCTTGAACTCATCTTCTGATCTCTGGCCACATTCCTGTAGTTATGACAAATACATCATAAAGAATGTCAAAACAATTATCCAAATAAATGCAGTGAAGCTTTAAATTCTCTGTAACACTTTATTTAGAGTGGTCATTTGAAGATGATTAATAAACTCTTAACAGATTATCAGTAACACATCAACAACATATCAGTGAAGTAGCAGTAGTGAAGCATCTGAATACACTGAAGTAAATATCTTGAAGATACATTACTTACATTCAGTAGATGTGTTGTTAATATGTTACTTCCATTACGCTAAACCTAACCTTACTCAAAACCTAACCCTAACCCAAAGCCCAATCCTAACTCTGTTACTAAGCGTCTGTTGATTGTTTGTTTCATCTACAAAGGACCACTCAAAACAAAGTGTCACTGAATTCTCTCCTGAATCTCTCATTGAGGAGTGTAATATATATTTTATCGAATGAAAATGTCCACTATACTGACAGACAATTTTGCTTGTTTCAAGCATTTTCTTAAAACAAGCAAAATTATCAACACAGTAAAATATTTTCACTTGATAAAAAAAAAAGAAAAAAAAATGTCTAGAAATTACAACAATCTAAAATGAGATATATTAGATATATTTACTACATTTAAGATCATTTCACTTGCCAAGATATCATATTTTGCAGTGTGCTCCTCTCCTTGTGAGGTATAGCACACAACAAACAAAGCCACCATGCAGGTACAACTCAACCTTAGGCTCAGCTCTCAGCTGAAAGAGTGCAAAATACAAACACAACTCACTTCACTGGTGTCAGGTTCATCCTTGACCTTTCCTGTTGGATCCTGAGGTACAAGAGCTTGATCATATTCCTCATCCATAGGTTCATCTTTGACCTTCACAGACAGGACAGTGGAACTGTCAATATCCATGTTCTCCTCTTCCTCCACGGGCCAAACAGAATGCACTGGCTGGAGAGAAATAAGAAATGTCTTGAATAAGCAGCGTGTACCTGCACACACACATTCCTGTTGAATCTAATTCACTTATAAATGAATGTTGATAATACACTCACTGTCTGTATAGAAGACTCCATCATCTCATCCTTCAACTCCTGGACCGTCTGGTTTTCTATTGGAGAAGATCAAATGTTTTGAAATGAAGTACAAAGCAAATCTGACATTACACAGCAACAAGAATTGTAATTTAAAAATCCTTCTTCTTCAAGGGGTTTTACAGACTTCACCAACCCTGCTCATGGAGATCTACTTTTCTGCAGAATTCAGCTCTAAACCTAAAGTACCTAATCCAACTAATGAAGCAGACTGAGGATCTGAACCAGATTTGTTCTAACAGGGTTGGACGTGAATGCTTCAGAAACATAGATGTCCAGGCTGGTGATTTACTTTAAAGGTCCCATATTATTCATTTTTCTTTTTTTACTGCTTTCCCCTGTGATGCACTTATAAATGTTTATGTGGTCATAATTATTTTTTACAGAGCCATTTTCCAATTTCTCTTTATCCCTTCAAATTAAACAGGCTGTTCTTGTTACTGTGCATTTCAGACAGATATAGGTCAGAGCGGAGGGGTTAATCGTATTTATATCAAAATCACAATTTGAAAGAGCGCAGTTTTTATGACAATACATTATCAGCAATGTTGCCTTAACAAGCTTTAAATGGAGAAAATTTAACCTAATAACACAGAGGCTGTGAAATTCCTGTAGATGAGTTCGACCAATCAGAAGCAACAGAACACCCAGGTTTCTGTATATGTGACATCATAACCATCACAACTAACTGGTAGTCTGATGCACTCAGTGCGCAAGTTTGCCAGAAAAAAAAGAGGATATTCTGGTCTTCTTGGACAAAACACAGGCCTGGAAGATAATTTATAGAAAATAATTGTATTTAAATTGCAATCGCAATATTGGTCACAAAAATCGCAATTTTCCCCTGATATATGTACAGAAGCTCTGTTCTGATTGGCTGCCCTGTATTGTGCTTCATTCAAAAAGCAGCACGGGCTGAAACAATCCTTCTGCGAAACTGTTGCACGCCGAAGAGTGAGGAAAATCAGTTTTCCATTAATTCCTTTAACAAAACTACTTCACCAAACTCTGACATGATTTTTCTTTTACTCTCTCGTTCGTCTGAAAGTGCATGCTTTCAAAGCACACAGAATTATCCACAGTGGCCCCAAAAAGTACTGTGTGATTTATTTTAAAGAGACCTTTCCAAGACTGTAACTGTCTTTCCAGCAAAGTATTCTTTGAAAAGGCAGCTGGTGAGTTTCAGATTGTTATCCTTTGAGCAGTTTCTTTACAGATGCCTGCAGGTTTTCTTCCAAATGCTTTGTAGACTTCTGAGTTCATGATCCCATTAATAAACACAATCTCACAGACTACACTGTAAGAAAAACAGACTCTGACTTTGATGTCTTCTTTGTGGAGTCTGGTTGGAGTTCTTCTCCAGGCTTCCTCCACACAAAGGCTTGTTTTATGTTGTGCTATATGAAGTAACTTAAAGACCTTCAGAAAATTACCGATGGTCAAAAGGTAAGTTTTCAAATACATTTTGGGGCCAATGCATAAAAATGACCTTGGTGTAATTATACTGTCCTTACTTGTTTTACCTGATTTGTTAGATGACATGTCTTCAGATGACACTTCAGAAGTCTGAGCCTGACTGTTAGAGGGCTGCAATTCAGGTCGTACTTCTTCAGAAGGGCTTTCAGCAGTGTCTTTGTTCAAAAGAAAGAAAGAACATATTCACTATATTTCAGGTTACAGGGGAAAATTACACTGCAGAAGACACTAAAACCATTCCTTAGAAAGCACATCAATAAGGATCTATCAGTGAAAGTAGGGCTGGGTTTTGAAACTATACTTTTATGGTACCAACTGGATTACTTTAATACTACAGAGTATTAGAATATCCTTTGCTATTCACTATTTAAGTCAGTTTTAGCATCCATGAGCCAACAGGCATGCTCAATCCAAAATCTAGACTGCAGATTGTTGTCTTAATTGTATTGTAAACATATAATTAACACAAGCATCTCTTGATTACTCTGCAATCCATTACTGTCAGTAAATACACCTATTTCCAGCTCCTCATACTCATTTCTACTTTAAACCATACCTACTTTAAATGACAAACCTGAAGTCTGTAATTTAAAAAGAAGGTATTGGGAAAAAAAGTATCATTCAGGAATCAGTGTCGAAATCGAGGTATCTGTATTGGTCTTGATATCAAAAATATTTTAACAAAACCCAGCCGTAGGTAAAAGTAATGTCAGTATCTTGTGATACCTGGAGGTCTGTACATTTCTTTGGTACTCAAATAAACATTATCTCTGTATTCATTGTAAAGACAGATCAGCTTTGGAAAAGAGAACAACACCACTGCCATGTACCAGGCTACGGATACAAACACCTCCAAATTAAGCTGTTCACGCTCACCCGTGTTCAAACAGGTTTCTGAATCTTCCAGGACATTGGCTTGCATCTTCTCTCCCGTGTGATCGATATCCATTGGGGCTTCAGCAGAGTCATCCTCTATTGTCCTGATAACCGTCCAATTTTCTTCATTTGCTTCTTGTCCGACAGATCCCGCTCTCTGCTCCTCATCTTCCTCTAACCTCTCCGGCGCCACTTCTTCAGTTCCACTGTGTTTTTTGTTTTTCTGCATCACCTCATTCTCCTCTGATGCCTCCTGCTCCACCTGTTCCATTTGAGTCTTCTTTTCCATCACGTTCTCCTCAGATTTTCTGTCCATCTCTGTTGGCTCTTTGAGCTCCTGTGCATTTTTTTCCACCTTTGTCTCGTCCATGTTCTTCTCCTCTGTTTTTTGGGGTTCCACTACTGTCTCTCCCTCACACTGTCCAGCGTTCTCTCCCTTCACATCTCTATCTGTCTCTAGTTTCTGCTGCTCTTCATCCTGTTGACCACTTCTCTCCTCCTCTTCCACATTCTTTTCTCTTGGATTTCTGTCTTCCGCTTGTTGCTTCCCCTGATCCTGCCCAGCAGTCCCTCCCTCCAAATCTCTGTCAGCCTCCTCATCTTGATGCCTTATTTCCTCCAGCTGCTTCTCTCCTTCCTCCTCCTGATCAATATTATGCTTCTCCTCTGCCAGGTTCTCCTCACCAAGTTTCCTGTCTTTTGACTCTGGCTGTTCCTGACTGCTCTCCTCATCCAAAGACTGTATGTCCACCTCTTGTCTGATGCCTACACCTTCAGGCTCTTCCTCTTCTTGACTAATTTGATGTTTCTTCTGTTCCATGTTTTCAGGTTTTCTGTTTTCCTCTACTGCCTCCTGTTCATGCTTCATCTGTTGGTCCTCTTCTTGCTTGTTGTCTGTGTCTTCTTGGATCATCACCTCCTGAATGTCCTCTCTTGCACCCTCTTCCTCCTCCTCCTGACTTCCTTCCATCAGGTTCTCTTGGGGAACAGGTTCTTCTACTGCAGACTGAGAGGTGCTCTGACAGTCTGACTTCTCCAGAACAGGGGAACCTTGTACATTTATTTTGCCATCAGTGCAACTGACATCATCTCCACTGTGACGTCCAGTTGGGTCCTCTCCAACCTGCACTGTGCCCTCCATCAGTGTACCTTCTTTTTCTGGATATTTAGGGGAGTCAGACATCTCTCACAAGTCTGAAAGACAACATATACCATACATTTATTTTAAGATTTAACACAGCAATTCAGTATATATGCTCTGGCACAGTTATGCCAAAAAAGAAAATAAAACTGTAGTACTTAGTCGCATTAATCTTGTTTTATTTTCCCCTCTGTATTACTTACATATAATAATAAACAGGTACCTATAAACTGATCAGGCATAACATTACGGCCACCTCCTTGTTTCTACGCTCATTGTCCATTTTATCAGCTCCACTTACTATATAGGTGCACTTTGTAGTTCTACAATTACAGACTGTAGTCCATCTGTTTCTCTGTATACTTTGTTAGCCCCCTTTCACCCTGTTCTTCAGTGGTCAGGACCCCAAGGACCCTCACAGAGCAAGAACATAAAGTATGCAGAGGAACAGATGGACTACAGTCTGTAATTGTTAAACTACAAAGTGCACCTATATAGTAAGTGGAGCTGATAAAATGGACAATGAGCACAGAAACAAGGAGGTGGTCATAATGTTATGCCTGATCGATGTATAAAAAAAAAATAAATAATAATAATAATAATAATGATAATAATAATAATAATAAAACTCTTCATGTTCAGATTGTGGTAATCTCAGTGTAGGTGCAGCTCAAGGTAGTGGCGTAATGGACTACAGTTGATCCGTATGGATCCCCCAACAGTTCGACACCCATGTGAACCACAAATTAATTGCCCAGTGGAACAAGACAGTGCTGAACACTTTCACTATAAACAGTGTGTGCATAACAAGATCTGCCGGTGTCCCAGTCAGTGCTACATGTTGACTTTCTACATGAGATTTTAGCAGGATCTGCCAAAGATCGCAATCAGTGATGCATATCACATCATCCAGATCCTCATCAGCACGGATAAGTAAGACGAAAAATTATGTGTCATTCAGACTTGCAGTGTTTCACCATCCTATACCTGTTCACCACCGTTTTTGCGCAGTGGCAGGATGCTTTGTAGCTTGTCTCGAGCAGTGTGCATCTAGAAATATGTACCAAAAAAAGAATAAAAACACTCGTGACAGACATTTTACACTCGCAAAAACGTGCACCTTACTGGTGTATATTCTGTACATAACCCTATAACACACTGCTCAAGCAGCAAAATCTGCCCCTCATTCATGTGTGTGTGCTGCTACTGAGTAAAAGTGACGCAACACCGCTGGTGAAGCAGAACACCGCGAAGGACAAATATGGTGGGAATGTATTTTGTATTTGACCATGATGTGAAAGAGCTGGGGGGCTGCAACAATACAGGAATTGTGGACCAGAGCCAATATTCAATATTTTACACGTACACGTCTGTCAGTGCTGATGACTACATTTAGAAAATGTAGAAATTGGGACTAGATCAACCCGGATTAGCATTACAGAGAATTAAACATTTTGCTGTTGTCGGGACAAAACCTCGTATCTCCAAAATGGTAACTTCACAGGAGAAGGAAAAACATACCTCACTTTTAATGTAAGTCAATGTAACCAGACTTTTTTTCCATGTAATTCTGGGCCACTTCCTCTCATCTACTCATCATGAAATTTACATTCAACGTAAATGGGAACAGGTGTTTTCAAATTATGTAAGAAACTGAAACTGACAAAAACGGAGATACAAGGTTTTGTTCCTACAGCAGCGATTTATTTGTATAGGACAACAAATTAAAGGAATGTACTGCTGTGTAATGTGTTTTAGTGCTGGCATCAGTCCAACATATATAACTGTGACCGTTCGTTATTAAAGGGCTGGCTAAATGTCTCGGTACCTGCTTGCAAGAAACAAAATAAATAAATAAAAAATCAATACCCTATACATAAGGCTGCTTCATGGTTTAGTGGGTTCACCTAAATTTTCTACTCTTCCAGAACTCAATAAATACATCGTCAAAAATTTATTTCGAATATCTGTGAAATCTAAACATTGCTCCAAAGCCAGAGGTTTTCAAGCAAATATCTGTCAATACAAATATGATTCTGATATTGTTGTGCATCCCTAAACCGTTCTGAAAAGGCATTATCTGAACGAATGTAATTCATTTTACAATAACTAATAACTTATCAAACCTCTCTTTAACATTTAGAATTAAACCATTAATTAGGCCATTTTGTTACTGCGCCTTTATGTGTACTGATATGTAAATGACCTCTATTCTGATTAGCTGTCCTATATTGCACCTCAAGTAGTCCAGGCTGAAACATTTCTAATAACTTCAGTGTGAGTGGGTGGGGCTAAACTGCAGTGTATATGTAAATGCATCGTCCTTCATGACATCACAAAAACAAAGAATAGAAAACAGGCTGTTTTGGCAGCTTCATTTCCATATACAGAAGAACCATTTCCATGCTTAATGGTTCTTTGCATGGTAAAATGGTTCTCCAAATTGATGGAGAATGTGTTGGACATGGCTCTATACAGAACCTTTTTAAACTGGTTCTATATACAATGTCAAGCTTGTAATGATAAGAAGAACCACTTCTGGTGCTATATAGAACCATTTTCAAAAGGTTTCTAGATAGAACCATATACAACACATTCTCCATCAATCTGAAAGAAGAACCATTTCACCATGCAAAGAACCATGACCTCTATAGGTTACAGAACTCAAGGTTCTAAACAGAACCATTTTCTCTACTAAAGAACCCTTGAAGAACCATCTTTAAGTGTACACGTTTTGAAACTTGCATTTAGAGACCTTCAAAAAAGTAAAGGCAGTTTTGTTTCCCGTAATTCGGACCCTTTAAACCGCCCCTCAGTCCTGTACAACAAAAGTTAACAGCAGCTAACAGGCTAGGCAGCTAATAAACACAGCAATGAGCTGGCTAGCTAAGCTAGTCCGTTAGCCTGCCGAAAAACTTCACTCGTAAGGTGTTTTGGTGCCAACAAAGGCGGCTATCCGGGCAAAAACAATAAATATATACTGGCTGCTAAACAACACGAACACGAAAATGCATTTTCACGCATAATATAAGGCCACGTCGGTCTGGTTAGACTGAGTTTTGCAGCGCTCATCATAAACACGCTGTTATGCTGTTTACCTGATTGTTTCTTACATGTAGCTACAGACAGACACGCGTGTCGGTGCGACAGTGAATGTTTACATACGGAGCTAAAGGAGCTGTAGCATCACCAGCCCGAGCGCACACACCCAGGCTAGCAGCGAGACGCAGAGAGGTGCTAAAACTACGCAAAACTACATCGTAAGCGGCTGAAACGCAGGTACTGAGCCATATTTCAGCAAAACAACTACAGTTAGCACGCTGACCCATCTTACAGAGCGGCTAGAGTCGAGACATTCAGGCAAAACCGCCAAATCAGAGTGTTGTCTGTAGCTCAGTAGCTGAAGCTGCTTGTTAGAATTTCCCGTTCCACCTTAAGTAGTGCAGCTTGTGATGGAGCGGCCGGGGAATTCCGCAGACTTTTCACGATTTAAACTTTAAATTTAAAGATGTAAGCACGGTAATTCAGAGTGGTTTGATGAGAAACACTCTGTTGTAGTCTGAATCGTTTACAGCGGTGGTGAACGGAACCAGATGTCTAAAGCTTTAAATACTGGCCTTCTACAAAAACACCTTCAGTAAAATACAGAAAACATGGAGAGACTCTTTCAGTTATTCTGCTTCTAAACTGCGGAGCTCAGTTCCACCTTTCATCAGACAGTCAAGCTCAGTGCTCACTTTTAAGACGCATCTAAAAATGTCTCTTTAACGTCTCGTGGTATTTTTATTTTACATCTTTTAATTTGATCTGTCATTTTCTTATATGATCCTAAAATAATACTTAGAATTTATTGTATTACTGTTAAGCTTTATCACCTGTCTGTAAAGCACTTTGAGCTGCCACTGGCATTAAAAGTGCTATATAAATAAAATTATTATTATTATTATTATTATTATTATTATTAATTTGCCTCTAAAAGCTCCCTCACAGAAAGCTGTTGCATGAAGTAGTTATAAATACGCGGCCTGATGTGTGACACATTATTTAATGATAGTTTTAAGACAAAGTTTTGGCTTAAATTATATTTTTTAGGTTCAATTTATGGCGAAGAAGTACGTGCAGGGTGTTATAAGGCCAGTTAATAATAAAAGCACTATTATAAATCTGTTATATATCTTTTACCACTATTTCACCATTACATATAAAAACTCAGAAGATGTGTGTAGGTCCAGGGGTCGTTCTGGTTAGTAAATAAAACGGCTGTATTGACTTCTCTGGCTGGTTCGTCACCACCACTGTAAGGAAATCTGAGCTGTTAAGTTTCTCTACATTTCACACCAAACCACTCTGCATGACTCTGTTTAGATCCCGAGGACTGAATTATGCAGGAATTCCGAAAAAAAGACACTTTGTTGCTTCAGCCATGCTGGAGTTAAAGGGGAACTCCACCAATTTTTCAAACAATTCTACATAATTTATGGTTAAGATGTAAACAAAGTCATTCAGAGTGGTTTGGTATGAAATGCTCCGTTCTAGAGAAAGTTAGAGCCAGAACTGTTCACAGTGGTGGTGATAGGAACCAGACGTCTGAAGAGTTGAATGCCTCTAAAAGCTCCCTCACAGGACGTTATTACACGAAATGGTTGTGGATGCCCGATTTTTATGTTTTATGATAAAGTTTTGTCCTAAAACGTCTTGTTAATCCATTTACTGTAACCCGTTCATGACGGAGGGGTACATGCAGGTCGTTGTAAGGCAAAATAGTCCCCAAAGAAAACTTTTTACCACTATTTTACCATCATCAGCATAACACTACAAAACCCAGAAGACACGGGTGGGTTCACTAGTGGTTTTGGATAATAAATAAAATGGGTGTGTTGTAGACATGGCGACCCCTGTTTCCTTTCACCACCACTGTAAAGAAATCGGAGTCTGCACGTTTCTGTGCAGAGCAAACCACTCTGAATGACTTTGTTTACATCACAACGACGGATTTATGCAAACAATTTGAAAATTTGGTGGAACTGCCCTTCAACGCACTGTTAGCAGAACCATTCTGCATTTTTCCAGAACAACTAGCGTTAACATTAGCTGAGCAAGAGACTGCAAAACAGCTGGAGTTGATTGAGTCCCTCTGCTGGAGCAGCTGGACCGAGACGTTCTTACAGTTCATGTTGTTTCAGCGCGTCTTATAGAGCGTCTGGAGTTCAGTGAACCTCTCTGCCACTCCAGCAGAGCAGCCGAGATGACTGACCCGCTCTGCTCACCGCATCTCTGCTCGAGCAGCCGGACTCATTTCAGCCATTCCGACAGAGCAGTTAGTTGGAGTTCATGTTAGCGGAGCTGCAGACTGCAAACACCACGCGGGCCACACAGTCAGTCCGGCTGCACAATACTGACCTCGGAGCGAACAGACACTGCAGTGAGGCGGCCGCTCACACAACACGCTCCATGCACGAGTCCTGCGGGAGATTATCTTCCACCAGAGCGCAGAAATGAAGAAGTAAAGAGCGAGGGCTGGCCGGACTGCCGCTAACTCTCACTCCCGCTAAATCCCTTCCGCACGCTGCTGCTGGAGCTCCACTCCCCCTGCAGAAAACAGCGCTGCGGGCTGCTGCAGCAGCGACCTCCAGCGGCCAACGCGCTCATTCCGCCAAGCAGCTTCAGCACCCCAAGATTTGTTTATTGGCAAAGTACTGTATACGTGAGTGTAAGGTACAGAAGAGTAGAGCCATCTCTTTATAATAATTATCTTTACTTATACATTTATAAGTTTGGCCCTAAACATTCCCTAAAAATGGGTTTCAGACTGTGGTTCTGCAGGACCACTGCCTTACCTTTACCCTTAAAGGGTCCATACCATGGAAAACCTTTTTTTTTTTTCTCACATATTGTTTTACAAAGAGTTTGATGTAGTATGTAAACACTGTTTCATACCAAAGTAAAAACAACAGAGGAAGAAGAGAAAGATAATCAAAAATAAAAGAAACAAATGATTAAAATGCAAATAGCAGAAAGGGGGATATGTTAATAATTAAGGTGAACATTAAAATGTCAAAGATCATAATTCAAGTATCAAAGACATAGACTGTTATTTGAAATCTTTATCTACCTATCTATCTTTCATTGAGAACGCTGTGAAAACCTGGAAACTGCGTTCTAATTTTGGCATTTTTGTGTAAGTAATCAGTTTTATAATACTGTACTTAGATCCGTTCTTTTTTATTTCTGTGTTGGTTTCTATTTACTGTTTTTGTTTATTTGTTTGTTCATTTGTTTTTCCTCCTTCTCTTCCCTGGCTGTCTTTTATTTGGAGGTATATGACATACGCTTTGATCCAAACTTGTATCAGAGTAGTGTGAAGACTGATGTCTTTGTTGTTGTTTTTGTATGTGCAAATATTTAATTTTAAAAGAAGAACACGCCCAAGTGTTTTCTTTAATTCTTCCAAATTTATTCATGTATTTTTTCAAGACAAACATTTTTATTTTCGAAATATAGGACAGTATCTCTAAAAAAGAATGAGTAGTCAATAGATTTAAAGATAAAGTGGGCTCCAAAATGTTTCAGACATAACACAGAATAAAAAAGTTTCCTCATTTTTCCTACAGAAATTACAATCACTTTCATCTGCTTGATATTTACTATGTATGAAGTGTGCTGGGTAAAATATATGAAGGAGCATAAAATGTATTTCTTTAAAAAAGCAACAGCCGGGTCTTTTGTCTATTCATGTCTAAAAGAGGAATTCTTCTTTTTTTTTTTAATTCTGCATAATTCAGTGATTAAGAAGTAAAGAAAGTCACCCAGAGTGGTTTGATTGTAGAGAAACCTACTGACTCAGACGTCTTCACAGTGGTGGTGATAAGAACCAGAGGTCATGATGTCTACAACGCAAAGTATAGCCATTTTATTTACGTAGTATAAAGTATAAGAATCATGTTTCTAAGATCTGCAGTAACACTATAAGAAGCTACATTTTTATAGTGCTGTGTAAGACTTATGCACTCGCTGGTCACTTTATCAGGTACCTTATATCTGCATTCATTGTCCTTTTAGCCGGTTCATCTACTATAAAGGTGCACTTTCCAGTTCTACAATGATAGATTGTAGTCCATCTGTTTCCCTGTATAATCTGCCCCCCCTTTACCGCTTTTTATCAGGGGTCAGGACCACCCCACAGGGCCACCACTGAGCAGGTATTATTTGGGTGATGGATCATCCTCAGCACTGCAGTGACACTGACTTGGTAGTAATGTGTTAGTATTAGATCAGACACAGCAGTGTTGCTGGAGTTTTTAAACACTGTGTCCACTCACTGTCCACTCTATTAGACACACCCATCTTGTTGGTCCACCTTGTAGATGTAAAGTCAGAGACAGTAGCTCACCTGTTGCTGCGGGTTTTGTGTTGGTCATCCTCTAGTCCTTTATCAGTGGTCACAGGATGCTGCCCACAAGACCCTTGGCTGAATATCTTGTTGGTGGACTATTCTCAGCCCACCTCTTTAACAGTTCCAGTAACATTGATGTCCTATGATCCTTCAGGATTTGTTTGACATTCCTGCTCTAATATTTTGTACATTCAAACAAGAATAATTTCAGCACTTTGGGAGAAAAGGCTTTACATCTGACATGGATGGAAACCATTCAGAAACCAAGTCAAAATGTACTGTCTTTCAAAAAAAAAAGTATGTAGACATTGAACTTATTAGCACATTCACAGAAGTGCCCTTGCAGTTTTAAAGCACACGAAATAACACTAAATAAATGCTCGCTTTCATTAAGTTGTCAATATTTAAATTAATATTGAATATTGAATGAATATTTATCAATCTGATATCCAATGGGAATTTTAATAAAGTCTCCAGAAAGGATGAAAATATCTCACCAATCAATAGCATACCTTATGCAACATAACATGAAATGACAACTTTGATAATTGTTTTAAAGGTTCATATCATGGAAAACTAAATTTTACTTGCTTTTTATTCCAAATAAAAGTTGGTTGTAGAATATAAACCATGTTAAAGTTTTAAAATGTACCATTCACTTCCACAATCCATCAAATCCATATGAAATTTAAACTGCAAAAAACAGCCTGCTTTGAATTCACTATTTTTGTGATGTCAGAAATATGGATGCATTTGCATATATCCACCTATTCAGCCTGCAGCAAGTTAACTCCACTCATTCATGTTGAAGTTATAAGGAGTGTTTTGACAGAGCAGCCAATCAAGGCAGAGCTATTTACCTAACACTTATAAATCTTATAAATCTGATTAATTCTAAGAGATAAAGAGTGGCTGTGAAATGATCACGAAAAATGTATTATGACTGTTTCTTGCTCATAGTCAGCAACTAGGTGATGAAAAGAGTATCAGAATAAAACAAATAAAACTGATTTTGTTTTATTTATGTATCATTTAATTTAGTTAAGTAGTCTAATTTCTCCAGGATGAGTTACACATAGGAGCTTTGTCTTATTCTAGTATCTAGTTTCTCTGATATACCAAAATAAGTGATATACACACATTATCTTAACTTAAAACAAGGATTAACACCTGCAGTTCAGACTAGAAGAAACTGCTCAAAGTGTTTCACCTGGTTAAGTGTGCAGATTGACTTTTCTGTGATTAGGATTCAGTTATGAAACTGCTGACTGTGATAAATACAATGGTACTTATGGGACTAAGTCATGGTATAATAGCCTCAGGTCGCTAATTGGACCAAATCAGCCTTAGGTGATGCCGCAGTATCCAGTTGTGTAAGTGTCTTTGAGTCTCCTCGCTGGTGCTTAAGGATGGACACTTTGTTCTCCACCTCATCCATGAAACCCTCATCAACAGATTCACTGTCCTTGTCTTCTTCTTCTCCAGCACCTTCAACCGGGAGGAAAATATGGAGCTGTGTTCGGGATGTGGTAGCAGCTGTAGTGGGTGAAGGCCGGCTGGGAAGACACGGCGTCCCCCTGATGGTTAAAGTCTCGTTGTGTGGGGTCTGCCGGTACTGCTTCACCAAAGGTCGCAGTCCACACTGGCCAGCAGTGAGCCTCCGAGCCCGGGTGACGGGCTGATCCAGTTTGGAAACAGGTCTTATTGGGTGAGAAAAGTGGGTGTATGCAGGTTGGTAGCTCTGTGGTGGTCCACTTGTTTTGTCACATGACTTGCAAAGGGACAGAGATGGGGTGTGTTTCCGAGGAGAGGGCCGGTAATGTCGAGGAAACCCATCAAACACCACTCGCTGGACTGGGACAAACAGGGAAGGCTCACTGATGCTGGGGACATTTGAAAAGGATATTAAAAAAGATGTAAACAAAGACTCAGATAAAACCGCATACATTAAAGGGGAATTCTACCCTTTTTTGAAAATGTATGCATAATTAAAGTGTTAAGATGCGGTTTGGCATTCTCGAGAAACTTAGGCCCAATCCCATTTCACCCCTCGCCCCTACCACTTAGCCCTTAGCCGTCTGTTTTGTGCGTTCACATCTAGGGGTAGGGTGTCCTGATTTTTGTTGAGATAGAGGGGAAGGGCTAAGTGTTTGGGTGACACAGCCCTCCAAATGGAGGTTATTCAGAGAGACACTCCAAACAGAGTGAAATGAGAAAAAGAAAAACTGGAAAGATGGCGGCGCAAGCGACCAAAGAAACTCACAAATGTAAGTATTTTCTACGTTAAAAACTACAATAATCATTGTACTGTCTTAGTTTAATGTTGTTTCAACGTATTATGGTCGTTTTCTTCATAACAAGCATAAAAATCACTAGTAGTGTGCTGATGACTCGGTAGCTACCTAGCTAAATTTCCCATTCCACCTGAAATAGTCTAGCGGTTCTGACGCACCAGAACATAACTGCTGCTCCTTTTAAGGTGGGACAGGAAAATTCTAGCAAGAAGCTGGTGAATAGCTGTACTTCAGCTTCATATCACCAAAGAATTAGCAATGGACAATAATAAATAATATGCGCATCAGCCCTCTTTGAAGGCATATGATGCACTAATTGAACTAAAGCCCACATTGCCTACAGAGCACTGCTAGTAGCCTGTTAATGAAGTAATAGATATATTTTTATTTGAGGGTCCCATTTCGTAAGGGAAGATTTCAACCACTACCACTTGTAATGCAGTTCCAAGGGGCAAGGTGACACTAGAAAACAAAGGGTATGGGTTAAAAAAAAGAAATGGGATTGGACCTTAGAGTGTCAGACTTTCTGTACAATGAAGCCTTTTAAGTCACTCCACTCTAAATGACTTTGTGTACATCTCAGATATAGATTTATACAGAAAAAAAGATAAAAATGGCAGTGCACTTGCTCCTTTTGTCTCAAAGCACATTAAATAGGTTAGAGAAACACTGGGAATTTTAAAGAAACTAATACACTGACCAGCCATAACATTAAAATCACCTCCTTATCTACACTCATTATTCATTTTATCAGCTCCGCTTACCGCCTAGGTGAACTTTGTAGTTCTACATTTACAGACTTACTTTGTTAGCCCTTTTTTACTTTCTTCTTCAATGGTCATGACTCTCAGAGGACCACTACAGAGCAGGTATTTTCTGGATGGTGGATTATTCTCAGCACTGCAGTAACACTGATGTGCTGGTGGTGTATTAGTGTGTGTTGCGCTGGTATGAGTGGATCAGACACAACAGTGCTGCTGGAGTTTTTAAACACCTCAGTGTCACTGCTGGACTGAGAATAGTCCACCAACCAAAAATATGCAACCAACAGCGTCCTGTGGGCAGCGTCCTGTGTCCACTGATGAAAGACTACAGGATGGCTTACACAAATGGTGCAACAACAGATCAGCTGACTTTACCAGCCACCACCCAAATGATATGGTGGTCCTCTGGGGGTCCTCACCACTGAAGAACAGGGTGAAAGGGTGCTAACAGAAAAAGATGGACTACAGTCTGTAATTTTAGAACTACAAAGTGCACCTATGCTGTAAGCGGAGCTGATAAAATGGACAAAGAGTGTAGAAACAAGGAGGTGGTCATAATGTTATGCCTGATCGGTGTATACATTGTCAAAAATGCTGTTAACGACTAACACATTTCTTGCGTTATTACTATTTTGACACAGCATATCTGTTTGTGTAATTAGAAAAGCTTTGCCGGTATCAAATAATGTGGTAAACGTGTTGAAATGAAATATCTGTTTTGAGAGTGTAATATTAGCTCATCACATCCAGTATTAACATTTCAACTATCTCCCCGTCTCCTCTTTTGGATTTATAGTGGCAGGCACACTGAATTAGAGCAGCTCTGAGTTATTTAAAACCTTAGCTGCCTGGAAGCCATCAGATAAATGGAGCTGATAGGACTGTTGTGTTGGCCGTGAGTTGTGTGGGTCTGTTGCTATGTGAGAAGTGCTTAACTCAGGTTTCCCGTCACACACTGAACACTACCTATTGAAAACAGCAGTTTAGAAATCTGAATGGGCTTTTCTATGGTCAGAGTGACTGGGTGACTGAGGTGAGGATGATCTGCAACACTACTTTTTGGGTTTGATGCAGGTTGAAACTAATAAATGAAGCTGGCTTCAGATTAGTGTATGAGTGCAGCTTCTTCACACTGACCTGGAGCACATTTAATGTATTGGTTTCTATGTTTGAGGGTTTGAAATGCAAACTTAACCAAATAATCTTAACAGCCTTATAAACAGTTTTATGAAGAAGTCTGAAAGCACCAGTCAAATTATGTTTGTTGTTTCTAAGTGGAAATAAGTCAACACGTTCTCTCCACGGAACTTAAATATGGCATTTTCTACAAATTTAAGTGTGAATTTCTACTGAATTGCTGAGTTTAACATATTGGAAAAAATAGCACATAAAACATTAAATGTGCCATAACTTTTAACTCATTTTCACAGAAAATCAACAAAATGTAATTTGACTAGTGGCGCCCAAAGATTTGCATATGACTGTATATATTCATTTACTCAATTTTCAGTTAAAATGACCTTTACATTATTTCTTTTTCTGCACCAAGAAAAAAGGTATATTCAACACAAAACACACTGAGGCCTTCATAAAAGTATAATATCACATTTTTCAGTACTTAGTGTGTTCACTCTGCCTTTATTACAGCTTCTGTTCTTATTTCAGGAGACTTGCTTTCAGTTTTTCAAAGAAATTTGCGGGAATATTATTTCATCATGTTAGTTGCATTTTCTGCCCCTCTTGATTCAAGTAACCCCAAACACATTTAATGATGTTGAGGTCTGGACCCAAACAAAGTCTGAGGCTGTTTTACAGTGATGTTGGTGAGATTGTGTTCATTAATGAGATCATGAAAGACGTCTGCAAAGAAACTGCTCAAACGATAACCATCTGAAACACCAGGCAGCGTTTGAAAGAATAATCCTTAAATTAGTCTTGGAATGAAGTGAACCATACTTTACTTTCAATGTAAGCCAATGGGACCAGAATTTATTCCAAGCCATTTTGGGCCGTTTCTTTTGGTCCATTCTTCATGAAATTTACACACAATGTAAAGGACAGCAGGCATTTTCAAACCATGTCAAAAACTGGAAAACAACAAAAATGTATATATATATATATATATATATATATATATATATATATATATATATATATATATATATATATATATAAATGGCCCAGAATGACTTGGAAAAACGTCTGGTTCCATTAACTTACATTAAAAGTAAGCTAGGTTTTTTCCATTTCCTGTAAAGTTACCATTTTGGAGATGCGAGGTTTTCTTCCGACAACAGCGATATATATTTTATATACACACACAGTCATATGCAAAAGTTTAAAAACACTTATCAAATTACATATTTTGTTCATTTTTGAAATGAAAAGAAATGAACCTTTACAGGGAATTAACTGAAATATATATTTTTCTTGCAGATTTTAGTGTACAATTTATATTTATTTGCTAAATGTTAGATATAGGGAAAAAAACAGAACACACTGTTAAATGTTGCAAATAAACAGTTAACTATGCAGAAGTGTGTTCTCTTTAGAGGATGCGTTCACTTCTTTCCCTTAGAAAATCAACAAAACGTAATTTACATACAGCGGACAGTGGAAACTATTTGGACAATTGTGCCACACTTAACACTGCATTCACTTCATTGTGTTAGGAAACCAAATGTCAAGCCAAGTGGTGTTTATGTTACACACAGCAATCCAAGACTGTAATTTTCTTTTTGGCAAAGTATTCTTTCAAAAGGCAGCTGGTTTATTTCAGATAATTATCTTTGGAGCAGATTCTTCTCAGACTTCTGCAGGTTTCCATCCGAAAAGCCTTGTATACACCATTCCTTCAAATGAACACAAGCCCACCAACCACCAGAGTAAGGAAATGAAAAAAGGGGAGAAAAAAAGGAAAAACCCCTAAAAAAAATCTCTATAATAAAGTGGCTTGTTTTACTATCTTAAGTACATCTTTTTGAGATCCAGCCTTTATAGTTTCAGGTATCAGCTCACCTGAGTGGTACCATGGAGGTCCGACGATGCACAGTTTTAGTCAGTGATGGAAGTTTGAGAGATTCTCCGAGGCTCAGTCCACTGGCACGTGGTAGTGGTGGCATGGAACTGGATAGGAGGTACGTTCGGCTCAAAGCTCGGTTCCTCTGCATTGCTTGTTGGTGCTTCAGCTGCACAGCGTTCAGGCCCACGCCTGAAGGGGCTCTCGCTCCACTCATGTCTGAATACGCTGCAGTCAGACAGACCGAGTGCGGCCACCCCTGGGGGTGCATGTATCCAAATAAGGCCATAAATAATTAATGTGCATTAAAGATTTAAATGTCAGCCTATTGATCACATGGCTACCCAATTCTCCCTCCCTCTTTTCCTTTCCTGCTTCCTGAGGTCAGCTTACAACCACTGGAGGGGCCAGATGTCACACACACAGGACTAAGTGGTTTTAAGTAGCTTTAAGCATGATATTGATGGTTAGGCTTTGATAATTTAAGCATGCTCAATTATACGGTCAATCCACACGGTCAAAAAAGGATACAGTGTGACTTGGGTTGACATGAGACAGTTTAAAAGAACCCTAAGAGGAGGATGATTTGCATTGTCATGTTTCTCCCCCCAACTTGTCGCTTTTCTTGAAAAATATGTTGTTGTAACAAAATTATTGTCTCCAAAATTGCAGCTTGAGGGCAAAAAAGTACCCTGATGTTAGTTAAAGGAATGTTGATGTATTTTAAAGTCTTTCAGTTTAAATCTAACCACTAAAGGTGTACATGATCTATATCCATGCCATAAACTAACTAAACCTATGAATGCTGTTTCTATGATGTAATGGTTGTATTGGGTTATATTGTATAGATTTCAACCTATTTACAATGCATTGTACTTTATAATGATTTGAAATTCATTTATACTACTCTTGTCAAATTTTTGATAAGCTGTGAAATTCTGGCTGTTTCAAGAATCTGAATCTACAAGTCATTTGCATGCATAGCTACGTACGCAAAAACCTTTAACACAAGTTAATTTTTTGAGATTTTGTTCTCAAAATTTGTGAAGCACTTCTATTTGTCCACCTATCATGAATTTACATCGTCTTTTTTTACCGCTTTGATCTTCTAGCTTTTTTACTGATACATAACTGCAAAATGTTCAGTGAGGTCAGACACCTTTAAAAAATGTATATACTTCCTCACACTGCTGTTTCAGGAAATGTGCATGCAGTACTTCAACAGCAAAACATGTTGGTTTATTGAGCTCTTATCTAATTAACCATTGCTCCCCCTGTATTTCCCCATTTTGTATTCTAATATTTTATACAAATGCAGTTTGCTGTCCGGTGTCAACCAGAGGAGGATGGGTTCCCCTTCTGAGTCATGGTTCCTCTCAAGTTTTTTTCCTCTTGCTCTTATGGAGTTTTTCCTTGCCACTGTCACCATTGGCTTGGACTCGGATTTTTCTGTAAAGCTGCTTTGTGACAACACCTGTTGTAAAAAGTGCTATATAAATAAACACAGCAAAATAAGACAACACACGTTACAGATGCTTCACACTTTTTATTTTAGAATCAAAAAATCAAAAACTTATTTCAGAAACTCTATCGCCGGCCATTGTACAATGCAGGTCAGACAGGACCATTGACCCACATTCACAGCAACTTCTGTTTCGTGCTATCAGCTTGCAGGCTCCGGTCCTCGACGCTGGATCAGTGCCAGAATTAACAGCAACCCAATAAGATACAACAGTGATAAAACAAGAGAAACACAAACCTCTTGAACTTAACCTGTTGTAGACAACACTACAAATGCTGCCAAACTGCAGAGTACTGGGACTTTTGGTTTTGAAACTATACAACAGGAAAAGCAACTGTTCCAGGTACATGGAGACTGTAACTCTGGGTGCATGATAGTCAGACTGTAATTCAAATTGCATGTAAAATTAGGGGAAAAAGATTTAGAACACTGGTAACATCTACAAAAGCAACAGCTTCTTTTACAGTGTTCAAATCATTTTGCAAAGTCCGCAAATGCTGCACTCTGCATCCTTATGACTCCTGTCCAGTAAATTCGGCCACCTTCTCTAAGAACAGAAAAGACAGGGAGGAAAAAGAAGTGAAAGTAAACGGGTTAACATTCAGCTTATACAAAATTCTACAAGCACACTAAGACGTTATAGATTTGGGGTATATACACAAGTTATATTTAAATTCTATATTACACCAAATCTATATAATCCCCACACAAAAAAAAAAAAATATATATAGTTTCAGGTGTTCTACTAACCTGCAGCTTTTATTCCTGAGGATCATATCCATGCGAGCCTCAAGAGGTACTGGTTTCATAGACTACATTTATCCATTGACCTAAAGAGATGGAGAGAGAGAGCAATTCGTAAGTAAAACAAACTTAGAGACAGTACAATACATGGACTGTACTTGCTGCCAACATAAGACCAAAGGTCACTAATTAAAAACATTTTGTCCACCATTCCAGAAATGACTGCTGTGAACTTTACACACAAATCCAGGGCTGCAGCAAGTCTGAGTAAAGGATGAATTTCATACTTTTCTGCACAGTTAAATGGTTAAGATGTAAGTGAAATGTGTATTCCTAGAAAAACAGCTACCTCACAAAGTTGCATGAAGTATTTATGAATATGCTAGCTGATGTCTGAGATGTTTTATCATAGTCCTGAGAAGCTTTTGTGCCGAAATGTATTTTTGTTGAATCCATTCATGGCAGAGAGGTACATGCAGGGTGTTGTAAGGCAAAATAGTACACAATGCAAAATTATTTTTCAGATTGACCACTATTTTACAGGTATCAAAATTATTAATTAAAAACACTCAGAAGACAAATGTAGGTGCACTGGTTATTCATGCTCAGAAATAGAATGGTTACATTTGTGCTGTAGACATAAAGTCCCCTGGCTCGCATCACCACCAGTGTGATGAAAATCTGAGCCAATTAGGTTTCTTGACAATGCACCATTTCATGTCAACCCACTTGGAACAACTTTGTTTACATCTCAGAGATCGATTTCTGCAGATTTTCTTGTGTACCTCCCTTTAAGACAAACCAAAAATCCTCTTTTTGGACGGTCAAATGTGAACAACATACAATTACAACTAAACTTTATATTGCTGGGCAGCAAGGCCAAAAACAGGACTTCCTGATTTCACACAGCATAGCTTGTTTTATGGTTTCAGAACTGCAAGTTTAATTATTAATCTGTTTAAATGGTCTAAAACAATTTTTTTGAGCTGTAAAATATTTTGCAAGGACTCATTCCTGTTTCATACAGGATGCAGAGTTGTGAATACTTGCAAGAGGACCTCAACTTCAAACACTACTTACCATATTTCAAAAGGTCTGGCACTCAGCCTGCCTCAACCACTTGATGCTCCTGCAGTGAGAGAGAAACAGTAAGTAAACAAGCACAAACAGAGTGCATGGTCCTGAGACTTCATTCTAACATGACTGACTAAGCTAATATAGATGTAAAACCGGATCAATTTGTCACAAACTACTGAAGGAAGGAACAGAGAAAATCCTTAATATTTAAGCAAAGAACTCAACTGCCTATCCTGACTAACATCTATATTTTAACTTTAAGTGAGGTGATACTGCGAAGTGTCACAAAATTCTACATATTAAGACAAGTCACATTCTAAAGATCTAACAATGTGCTGGTTGAGGAAAATGTTTTCAATGCCATTTATGTCCTGCTGAGAAACTGGGTGTGACACTAAATCTAAGAGTCTTGATGTACAGTCCATTAACAGCACTTGATGAATGTTATCTCTATGCAGACAATATCACCTCATTCACAGTGCTGGGTTTCCAGAAGAGTAGATCCTGAAGATCTGGGTTAAGGTCTGCCTCTCCACAGGCAGCCATTAGGCAAAGAAGGTAGTTCTGGCATCACACTCCATATGAAGTAAAAGCATGTCAACTAATCACAGTCAGAGACCAGGAGACTGAAGAAATGGATCACAGTGCAGATAAGACACACATCCCTGGACAGCCTTCATGCTCATCCAGTACTTGCTCTACAAAGCAGTTTTGCCCCATCAGGGCTACAAACACCCAACACCTGGTTTTCAGCAGGTGGGTTTAGACAGATTTTGCACCATGATGTGTAGAGAAAAGTGTACACAAGAGGTTTCTGAACACCACGTCGTGCGTTGCTAAAATGACTGCACTTGAACACAAGAAATCAGTGGAATTGTACCATGGACACAAGGAGTAAAAGGAACTGTAAAAACCAGCAGAGTAGTCAAACTATGTAGGAACTGAAGACGTCAAGAACTGGTAAGCTAACTAGAACAAAATTGCTGATTTTAACGCTTACAGCACTTACGCAAGATTTGTAAAAATATGAATGACGAATCACATACAAGTTCCTCAGTTGCCTGACAGATGTCCAACTACGCAGAACTAACGTACTGAGCGATGCAGTCGATTGCCCTGGCAACTTATTTGCATTTCATGAGAGGTAGAAGGGAGCGTTGTAAATATCTTTAATTGGTTTGAAGTAATCTTAAATTTTTGACCGGCATCTGCTACACCTGCACATTACTTATGGGTTAAACCACGGATGCACAGATATAGGAACTGCATGTACATACTGGCAGATACCAATACATAACCATTTATAAAACACAGAAATTGGGACTACCACCTGGATTAGCTTTACAGTGAAATAGAATATTTACCTCTATATGGTCACAAATGCAGTGAAATCAATAAAATGTAGACATTTTTGCACAGTTGCCCAGTGGCACAAACATTCTGCTTTTCTAAAGTACAATATCAAATATGGTTTAAAAATGATTCAAATCTAAACATCAGCCTGATACCATTTTTTTTTTAAAGCAAAATATCCTATATTGAAACTGCTGATACCAATGTGACACCAATCACATTGTGCATCCTGAGGTACAACATGTCTTTCACTTGTGTAGTAACATTAACTACTCAAAATTAAAGTGAACCCCAGACCAACAAAGAAATACTTATGAGAACTCAGACTGCTCACCCATAAACATTCCTTCATTACTGAACATCCTGCCATAATGTGGCTAGTTGTATGTTCGAATGGAGGCTCAAAATCAGAGCACTGTGGTGAGAAGACAAACAGCACAAACTTTTGAGAAAAGTCTCCATTACGATGTTCTTTACACACACACATCAAATTAACACTGACCCAGACTGAAAGTCAAGTTTCAGAACCAAAACACTGCAACCACTTGGCATCCAAAACAGACATTTTAAATTTGTTCCACACAAGTCAGTTGCTAACCCCTTAATGCTGGGGAAAAGCCTTCCTGTCTTTTAAGCTACTATTCTCTTTTAATGTCAGCTCTTAATGCTGTCATCACATTTATTTTAATGATTAAAAATTATCTAATAAAGCTGAATATTTGCTGATTGTTTTGTTACATACAACCATTTTTAACAAACAAACAAATCATTAGTCTGATGGAACAGATCGAAGTTTTAGCCATTAGATTTCTGTTATGAACATACATGCATGTTTGCTTCAAAAATATCAGTGCTTTCAGATGTAATGACTATTTTATACAGCAATACAAAACAGGAGCACACAAAGCTCCTATCCACACACGCAATGTCAAAATACATGTTGCTCAATTGCTCTGGTGGCAGGTTTTAATGTGTTAAAGAGGAAATGACCAAAGTGTCTGAATGAATCATTGATGAGCTATTAGGTGAGATACTTATTCATAATACAGCAAACTTTCAGAGCCAAAGGTCAGTAAACCTATTTATTTCACTAATAAAGTATTTCAGCAAGAAATACAAGAGTTTCAGGGCCTGCTGTATGTTAAATGTTCAAGTAGTTCAAGTAATGTTCAAAAACAGGTCAGAAAAAGTCCACCAAGGTAAGAGTAGTAAAGATTTGGATTACTTCCAAAAACTCTGAAAAAGATTTGATCCCAGATTAAGTCTTCAGTGCACATGTACAGTTTGAACACTTCCACACCCTCCTACTGCTTAAATAATTATATTATTTACAAACATATATATACACATATATATATATATGCAGGGAATGTTGCAATGCTTTCATAAGGAGACAGTCAGGTTTTGCTGTTGATGGTTTATATGTCCATACGATGCCATCCCATCCCCGTCCCGTCTATTTTATGTACTTTACATGAAAAGTTCAGAAGCTGCTCAACTATGAGACACTAATTGCATCAGTCCATTCCTGTCCGAGGAAAAAAAAATACATAAAAAAAACATCCAACATGTCTGCACTGCATACCTGCTACTCCATTTTCACAGAACATGATCTCATTTGGCGTACCGTAATCGCTGGTTATCCACATTGAGTCCACAACACAAAAAAAAACAAATTCTGCACTGTGAATCCATTTTCAGAAGTGTGATGCCAGAACCCCAATAACATCAGCATGTGAGGTGATTCAGGAAGGCGAATCAGACTTTTTTCATCATTGAACAAGAGACATGACATGTGCACTTACCTTCTCTGATGATATGCAAGCAAACCTCTTGACGTAAACAAGTCCAGGCTCAACTGTCCACTGATCTGCAGAACTACTCATCCTCACTGTAATCAACTGCTGGAGTCTCAACTGTGGAGCAGGGCAAGCTGGACACTGGCCGCTACTGCTTAGCTACAGCACCACCATCCACGTCATACACATTACAGACACAGAGACAAGCTCTCCTCACAGAAATGCATCAAGTCTGGCAATGACAAATTTCCTTTGGACCTCATACGAAGAGTTTGCTTGTCGTCGAGTCTTGACTGTCTTCTCCACTTACTGTACTAATGCATGAAATTACTCATCTGTCCACACTCTCGATAGTGGTGTTCAACTGCATGGTGGCCTTGTGATGCTGTGATTTATGTATGTACAATGTTGAATTATTAGCCTAAGTATTCCAGTAAATAACTTGCATGGAGAGTAATTACCGATTATTCATACAGCGAGCCATCAGCCACACTTAATGGGCAAAAAATTGGATATAGCTATATATATATAATTCCATTTTAATGGCCTTCTCTCGAACAACCCAGATCTAACGGCCTGGCTTAGACAACCCAGAGCCAACGGCCTGGCTTTTGTAAACACTTCAAGTGAAAATGACTAATCAAACTTTAAACCAAAATGTCACAGTAACTTTGACATCTAAGTTACAAAATGCGGTATTGCATAACCTAGATATAATCTCTGAATAAAATGCATAAAATAAACAAATACATTTATTTACAGCTAGGTGTCCTATAATTTTTTCAGAAGAAATGAGTTTGGAATGATCCTTGGAAATGTAGCAGAAAAAACTGCTGCCTAAATGCTACGAGACTAAAGATCAGCAGCATTTAGCAGTTTAGTGGTGGCTGAGGTAAATGATGACATCTACACTTTCTGCTCCTCAGTAGATGTTTATGCAGGACATGCTAGCTTGCTGAGACAACATTAATAACAGAAACAGGTTTTCATTGTTTTTCGTTCTAGCTAACTGGAGTTAGAGTAGCTAGCCTAGTTATAGCCGCACTGCCTCTGCATTCTTGATCTCATCCTCAAAGTGTGCACTTGTGTTAAGGCACTTGTGTGATGTAACAAAATAAGATGTACTTAATCGCAAATGCAGGCCAAACTAAAACTTCACAGTCCTGTTAAAACTTGTGTTAAAATTCCTGATTTGCCACGTTATGTCTAAAATCTGAGGTTCCTCCAGGATGCAACAGATTCCCTTATACTGGCTATACAAATTCTTTTCATGGCTTACAGCACAAGGTGTGATGTGGCCAAATGAAGTATATCAGGTAAACTGAACAAGCATTCAACCTACATTTTGATATAAAGCACTGGAATTATTTGTAATTTTGCCTGTAGTGGCTGCTTATGCTGCAGTATATTTTATGCACTTAAGAAGACCGATCTGTTGTAAAGAGTTAGCTAAAGTTAATCTAAAATCAGAATGGATCTTTTTTTTTATATATACACCTGTTAACGTACCTGGGTCATTTTAAGCATGATTAGTCACATTTTCAAAAATAATTGTGTCCCTGTAACCTTCCAACAAAATGTTATAATTTTGCCCGCCTCTAACACATACAAAAGGCCGAGTGGGCATTTTTGGTTGTTAAACACCAAAAGCTTTGTTTACTTTCCTAAAAAATAGCGTAGTTAACAGGCCTGGTTTCTCTGATTTTTACATCCAAGAGGGGGGGAAAATAACACAACATTAAAAGATTATTGCCACAAAACCTCAGAACTACCTTTCAGGCATTTTGTCCTGGACCATTTCAAACTTTTAGGCGGCATAAAATGAGATTTTTACTTTGGCTAATAAAATATACTAGTAGTTACGGAAGGGCATTTCAACAATTTTTTGCCATTAGAATAT